CTGGTAAAAAAAAAAAAAAAAAACTCATCAGCAGGATTTTGGAAATTGGGGGGGACACAGCTGCCAATCACAAATTTTGCCGGGGACATGTCCCCGGCGTCCCCGGTTAAAATGACGCCATTTTGGTTATGGCCTTTCTGAGTAGAGTCTCCTCATGCATGTGTGAGTCTTATCTACTTTGGTTTCCTCCCACAGGCCAAACATGCATGTTTGGGTGAATACAATTTCCAGAATGTGTGTGTGTGAGTGTGTCCCTGTGATAGGCCGTCAAATCATCCAGGATTCTCCCTTTTTCTCTCCGGGTGCCTGTTGGAGATAGATACCAGCTCTCCGTGAACCTTCTGAGGAAATACGATTAAGAAAATGAGTGAATACATGAAAGCAGCTAAAATACAGCTAAACTCCTTGTATCGCATCTCTACACAGAAACGTTTTCAGTTGTCTACTTTGTCCTTCATCTAATATCTCATTTAAATGACTGGAAAAACTGTGAAAAATAGTCATAAGCTGCCATTAGGCCTCGGCGCCATCCATCGTTCACTGTGAATGAAACAACAACCTAATTTAGCTTCATTGGCTTATCCTGCTACATAGAAAATTTAAAGGAGTTAGTTTTCTTCCAATAATGTAATTTTCTGTTTAAATAGTGTCTGATTGAAGGAAAAAGGACTGTTTTTGCTCCAACCTTTGAGATTTTACCGTTTATCATACACATTTGCTCAAAACTCTCATAAACTATCTGCGTTGTTTAAAAATAAAGATTCATAGAGGAAATGCATGCCTTGCAATACTGTAAACTATTTGAAAAATATTTTCTTTCTATTTTGGCTCATTTTTTTTGTTTATACTCTTGTCATTTGAGCAACAGCCAGATTTTCAGCGGCATGCTTTTCAGTGGCATCGTTACAGTTGAAGCAGTAGGTAGACGTCACCCAGCAAGAGCATACATAAAAGAGAAAATTAGATGTCAAGATCACAACAATGCAAGCCAAATTATGGCCTGATATTCTGGAAAAGAGACGGATTTAAACAACTTAGTAGCCCAGGGGGCAGCAGCTAATTCTCTGTTCTAATTACAGGGCCACTGCAGCAAAGCTCCTGTAGGTCATTTAAATTTAACTGATGTCATTCTTCTCCTCAGTAATGACTAATTCACCTGATTAGTTCATTATAGGAGTTTAATGGTACTGGGCAACACTACAGGGTCACATCCCATATCTATCTATGGTCATCAACAGCAGCATCTGTCCTGGTCTTATCTCCCATCTGACTTCTGGACAGAAAATGAAAGAAGTAGCAGAATATTGTGATTGATTCAATGTTGAATGGCATTTTTCCCAATCATTTTTAGCTTAATGCATTCTGTGAAATATGTTTAAAGGCTTCTTGATTTATTTTCTGCTTTTTTAAATGTCATATGGGCTACCTGACATCGCTGTCAACACTGAGCACATCCTTCTCGTGCTCTCCTCGTTTAGGGATGGTGTTGCATGTTTTTACTGTTGTTCTGCTTTTGGTGGCTGTCGAAACATCTCATTTGAACTCACTTCTACAAGTCCAAAGCAGCCTTCAACGTGACATCAAGCTTCCAGAGCTTCCCCCATCGGCCTTTAAAGTCATCCTTTATGACTTTGCAATGATAGCGTTATGCATTAAACACTTTGTGCTCCTTTAGAGGCCTAAAACTCAGCTTCAATCTAATTGAAGAAGAAGAAACAAAGCACCTTTCAAGATTAAAATCACGAGATACTTCACAAGAACATAAACAATTTTAACTAAAGAAATTAAAACATGAATATAGTATTACCAATAGCAACTTAAGAGTGGTTGCAAAGAGACTAATTGAACAAAACAATGCTTTGAATTCATGATGCATTTTTCTAATGCAGAAATACCCTTAGATGTTTTAATTACAAAGATTAGAACGATAAGGACTGCAACGATGACTTCTCTAACCAAACACCAACAAACGTTTCTTTTCACAAACTTGGCATCATGGCAACCGTCTAATGGTTCATTCAGTCACCCCAAGTTTCTACATGTTCCACTGAATGTAGAAAATCAGAAAATAATAGAAACATAAACACAAAACAGCCTTAGATGAAAACATAATGAATCAATACAAACACTAAATAAAAAATAAGAGAAGAAGATCCTCCAAATCTGAGACGCATGGTAACGAGTCGGAAAAGGGTAGAATGCCTTCTCTAGGTCAGGGACGAGGTCCTGCCCCAGGTGGAGGTTCATAAATGAGGGGAAAATTGAGGAGGAGATCAAAAGGTGGATGTTACAGTGATGCAAGCGTTGATCTGTTGTGGTGATGAGAGCTGAGCCAGAAGGTGAAGCTCTGGATTTACTGTTCAATCTACGTTCCAACCCTCTTATATGGCCATGAGCTTTGGGTGATAGAAAGAACAAGATTACATATACAAGCGGCCAAAATGTGTTTCCTCCGCAGGGTGGCTGGGCTTTCCCTTATAGATAGGGTGAGAATCCCGGTCATCCAGGAGGGGCTCAGAGTAGATCTGCTGCTCCTCATTGAGGGGAGCCAGTTGAGCTGTCTCGAGCATCTGGTTAGGATACCTCCTGGGACGCCGCCCTGGTGAGACCTAAAGGAAGACCCAGGACACGCTGGAGAGACTATGTTTCTTGTCTGGCCTGAGAACGCTTTAGGATCCCCCAAGTGGCTGGAGAGAGGGAAGTCTGGGCCTCTCTGCTTAGGCTGCTGCCCCCGTGATCCGACCCTGGATAAAATGGATAAATGGATGAATGGATGGATGCATGTAGTAAATGATAAATGACCCGTATAGCGCCTCTCAGAGTAAGGACTCCAAAGCGCTTTACACTACAGTGTATCATTCATCCTTTCACACACACATTCACACACTGATGGTGATGAGCTACGATGTAGCCACAGCTGCTCTACAGGGGAGCATTGACAGAGGCGAGGCTGTCGAGCACAGGCACCACCAGTCCCTCCGACCACCACCAGTAGGCAAGGTGGGTTAAGTGTCTTGCCCAAGGACACAACAGCAGAATTCGCTGTCGGGAGCCGGATCGAACCTGCAACCTTCCAATTAATGGACAACCCGCTCAACCTGTTGATCTACTGCTGCCCTACTGCTGTTGTACAAGATGTCTTCATTCTAAAGTTTTAAAAAAATTATTTTATTTTATTATTATTATTATTTTTGTTTTACTAGAAAGTGGAGCCTTACAATAATCTACTGATGCTTTTAAACTGTTTGGTGCTGAAACTAAAAACTGGATTAGATGGAGTCACAGCAACCGTGGATGGAGCTGGCAGGGAGTGGTGTAATGACCTGGGGCCTGATGGGACCCAACCCAAGACCGGCACAAAACAGAGCAAACAATTAAAACGGATTTTCTCGTAACGATAACCAGGAATAGAAGCTGCAGCTGGTGGCTCTAGTCACAATGTGGTGATTGCCCCCCTTTAATAATGGTTGAGTCACGTTTTTACCAAGACAGAAAAATGTTTATGGAATGAACAATAAAGCTAAATGTGTGTGTAGCTCTGCCCAAAAATGAGCTGAGGGTTGAGCTTCAGATGTATTAACGGGAGCTGTAGCAGGACTTGGACACCGCAGGATAAAGGTGAAGATTAGCACGTCTCTTGGTTTTGTTTCAGCAGCACCACAGTTAAGGGAATGTTTCATTTCAAAAAATGCAGAGAGTTCATATTTATGTGTGTACCTTTAAGTGTGACACTGACAGAGTGAATATGCTGAAGATATTAAGAAATGAAACTCTTCCTGTTTTATTGTGGCAGGTGTTTATCAGATTATCAGAATCCTCTTTGGTGTGTGAGCGTCCATCGGAGTCCCAGTTTCACCACACTGCCCAGGGCATTAACATAAAGGGTGCAAAGTAATTAGAAAAGTTTGTTTCAATAAAAATGCCAACTAAATGTGTATGGATTAACAGATGTGGTTGCAAAAGGAGTGAGGTGAGACAAAGACATTCAGAAAATGAGTAAAAGGTGAGCCGTCTTTCGAGCATTAGGTTTTACTTTCTACTTTTTTTTTTAGAGAGAATGCTTTGAAAATGTCAGAAAGACAGAGGCAAATAAAAAACGGGGTTCAAATCATGATTTCTGCTCTGGACCTGCAGGTACCGATCCACTATGAATCAAAGAGCTATCTTTAATGAAACTCAACTTGATGGACAGTTCTTCTCATTTTATTTTGACTTGTGTGTGTGTGCATGTGTGTGTGAAAGCTTGTGAAAAGTGTCTGAAGATTATAAAGGCGATGGAGAACTGTTGGCAGATTTCACAGCTTCTGTTGCAGAGTGAGCCAGGGATATAAAGAACCACTATTTCAGCAAGTGGCATTCTTGACAATGAATTGAATTGAAAGCAGGGTCCATGCACAATAAAATTGCACTAACTCCAAACAGAAATGTCACAGCTGAGATTTGAGCATAAAATCTCTGCAGTTTCTCATGGCTGTGTTTAAAAACTTTTCTCCACCCTATAGTTCTCACAGGACATTTATTTCCCGTGGATACTCCTGTCCTTGCATCAATGTCTCAAAACATCAACAAGCTCAAGATATGTTATAATTAAACAGCCCTGCTGTTCTGTCATGCTCAGTTCAGTAAAACATAGAATATTTATCTATGATAGATAGATAAGCTATCTATCTATCTATCTATCTATCTATCTATCTATCTATCTATCTATCTATCTATCTATCTATCTATCTATCTATCTATCTATCTATCTATCTATCTATCTATCTATCTATCTATCTATCTATCTATCTATCTATCTATCTATCTTCTAATCTTGTGAAACTTGAGTTTTCTTTGCAGATTTTCAGAAAAACTGCTAATACCAAATAAATATTTCATTACTATTTTTTCACTATTCAGTTGTTTTCTTTTTTCTTTTTTTTTTAAAGAAAGCCTGCTGGTGGCGCTGTTGAGCTGCACTCACGCACATTCTAGAATTCTCCCACACTGTGCGTGCCTTCTCTCCGAAGGCGTGTCAAACGCGATGTCACGAGAGTTAACTGAAATCACGCGGTGTTTCGAAGACTCCAGTGATTCGGTTGTAAACCAGTTAACTATTTAGGTTTCAGTTCCATTTGCCGGGCTTTTTTGTTAGATTACGCCATTAACTATCTCGCTGCGCGACAGGCTGCGTTTATTGGAAAACAGTAAAGATGTAAGTTTTGGGTTCTTTGTGGATTTACTCATAGCTAATCAGTGTTAAGTGTTTGGGAGTGCTGTAATGCGGATCAACAAGCTAACACTAGCTAACTCAGCTAGCACACGAGTTAGCTTCAGTTTTGCTGTAATAGACTGAGACTGAGATTGCTCCTCGGTAAATCTACTTATAAATGACCACCCGTCAGCTCAGTATCACATTACACCTTAAATCCTTGAGTTTTAATTGTTTTGCCTCGGTCTCCTCTGCTATACAGAGTTAGCTGGACATGACTAGGGTAAAGTTAGCCTCGAAGGCATATGATTTCACTTAATGCTAACGCAACTTGTAACACAAGTTCTTATATGTTTGATTGAAATACCTTTAACACCACAAGCCCTACGTCAAATTACGATTTACTTGAATGTAAATTACATTGAATTAATCTAGTTAAACCCTACAGACTGCTAATGTATTTTAATCTGCTGTGACAAAGCAGCCTTGCCTTTAAAACCTTTAACTGTCACACCTGTTTGATTTGAAAAGTCTGAAAGGGAAACAAGTATTTGCGATTATCAAAATAACCTTCAACAAGACTGATGGACTGTGTGATCACAGCTGAAGATTCACATTTTCTGAATGAATGAAAACTACCGGGTATTATATTTTAGGAATATTTCTTTCAGAGTTGCCAATGTTATTCATTTAATGTTCATGTTTTTCAACAGGCTTCCTGCAACAGCAAAGTGGTATGACAGAAGAGACTCTGTTTTTGTAGAGTTCTGTGTTGAAGACAGTAAAGACGTCCAAGTAAAATTTGACCTCTCAAAGTTTGACTTTAGGTAAGTTGAATAGATTGCCTGGTAAATGGTCATATTTCAAAATTATTTGAAAGAGTAAATGAGCTTTAAGATAAATTTGTAAACATTTTTATCGGTTATGACCAAAGTAAATAAAACATTTCGCCGCTGTTGTATCCGTGTTTTACTCTGTTTGTATTTTTTCTTACAGCTGTGTCAGTGGGACAGATAATATCAAACATCACAACTCAGTGGAGCTTTTTGGGGATATTGATCCCAAAGTAAGCAGATCATCAGTTTACTAAGCTGAAGTTCTAACATGGCTTTTAATTCCTTTAAGCCTTAATTACATTCTCTCTTTTTTAAACACACAGGGGTCCAAGCACAGACGCACTGACAGATCTGTCTTGTGTTGTTTACGAAAAGCAGAAGCTGGAAAGTCATGGCCACGACTTACCAAAGACAAAACAAAGGTAATTTTAGCTTTTAAAATATTTATTTTTGTTTATTCCAAAATGTACCAGTAGAAAAATTAAGAGTGCTTTCTGTCAGGAAAAATAACAGAAGAGCTTTGATGGGGAAAATAAGTTAATCAGTGTTTAGAGTTCAGCTTCGAGAAGAATCATTTATCTAAAATAAATTCCTTTTTTAAACTCCTGAGTAGGGTCATTAGGGGCGGGCGCCCATGTCCAGTGGTTACTGGGTGAGAGGCTGCCAGGGCCACTCACACACAGACAACCTTTCACTCACAAATGGAACAGCTCACTCACACTTGGTGAAAATTAATTAACATGACGTCCACACACACACCGGGACCAAATCCTGCACCGAAAATAAAACAATAAATTTCATGCTAAATTAACCTGATGCTAACATCAGATTATTAATGCAGGTAAATCATGTAATCTGGGTGAATAATTGAGTTATAGCAAACAATGTTCACTCGGACTACAATGAACTTTTTAAAAACTTTAAAAAATATGCTACTCTAAAAGCTCCGTTCTTATAATTAGTTTGTTTGTAAACTTGGCCTAAGAGATGATTAAAGACCAGCTGTAAAGAAACAGTTAAAGTGATTTACATGTCAAATTTGGGCTTATTTACATACTACAGTCTTTTTATTATAGTGCAACTGGCTGAGTGTGGATTTCAATAATTGGAAAGACTGGGAAGACGATTCTGAAGAAGACTTGTCAAGTTTTGACAAATTCTCAGAGGTAAGTGTGTTGAAGTCCCAGAGCTTTGAATGAGATGGTTTGTATGTACTGACGCTCTCCGTGTCTCCTGTGCTTTTCTTCAGATGATGAACAGCATGGGTGGGGATGATCTACCTGATTTAGATGGTGCAGAGGAGGAGGTGTGCTTTTTAAGATCCTTTTGGTTCTTTTTTACATTCTGTGGCATTAGGGCTGGGCGATATGGCCCAAAATCAATATCACAATATATTCAGGAGTGCACTTCTAATGATAAATGGATGATAACTACATGTATGCGCAAAATTAGAAGTTGCCCACTAGATTGGGCTGTCACGCGTATTACGTTGAGTCATGTCAGCTTCTTGGGAAAGTCTCTCCAACCGCCACACATTTTCTCATTTTTTTTATTATCTAATACAGAAATTTCGATAGATGCGTTTTTGATTTATCGCCCAACTCTTTATTAAGTTAAAGTCTAAACTGTAGATCATGTATTTATGGAGGATTTGATGTAATTGACCAGGTAAAGTTGTAAACGGGGAATCATTTTTGGTTTCACTTTTTTTTTCCCAGCATGATTCTGCGGACAGCGATGATGAAAGTAAGTCTGGTCTACTAATCTGTGTTATTAGTCATTAATAACTGGTGTGAGAATGTAGAAATGCATAGCTGTGGTGTTCAACATTGTAAATCCATTACAAAAATGGCCAGTTTCAATGAAATTTATGTTTTTATACGTCGCCGATCTTCTCTGACATATGTTGGATTTTCTTCCTTCCAGAAATGCCGGACCTTGAGTAGACAAACATGTTTGCCTTGTCTCTAGTTAACAAAGCAAGTCCGATGAAATAATCATCAGTTGGCGGCCTGTTGAAGAATCATCTCTCTACTTTCCAAAGCGACATCCCTCACTGGAGTGACTGTTGGGTACCGACGTGCACAGACATCCATAGCGACATTCAGTGCTGTGCTTTGGCATTTTGTTCTGCATGGACAATTCTATTCATATGTTGTTGTTCCTTGACTTTTATGACTGTAAAGGGATGTGCTGATGTCTTACACCTCATTTGTTTTCCTATTTCTATGTTAGATGATGTAACGTGGTTTCTAACGAGAAAATCTCAGAACGCCTATTTTCCAACAAGTACGTTTTATTAGCAGATTATTTCCCCTTTAATGTTTGTATTGTAAATTGCACTTGCGTTTAATTTAAGTCAAGAGTACTGCTTTGAATTGGTATTCCAGTGTGTCCCAACATCTTCACATATTTACCAGTAATTTCATTTTTTTTAAATGTGGCAGCATTTAAAATAAACAATATGCTTGTTCTACTTAAATTGTGTGTGATTCTTGTGAAGGGGTTTAATCAGTTGGCCAAAGGTTTAGCAATCTAGCTTAATGTGTCCATAGAAGGCTATAGAGACAGTTAAAAACATACAATAAGACTCGGTCCTTGAACAATTTTACCTGAAAATGTGAAATATCTTCACGTAGATGTGCTCAAGACTGCTCTGCTTCTGCCTGAACCATACACCGGGTATTCAAGGGGATTACCATCTTGTCTACTTTCACATTGACTTTAAAAAAGGGAGCATGACGTTCTTTTTTACTATGTATGGTGTTGGATTTTACACACAGATGTCTTGGCTGCGGGAAAGTTGGCTACAAAAGTGAGGCGTGGCTTGAATAGCCAGGTGAAAGATAAAATCCATAAACCCTGCCAGGTATAACAGTCAGGTTGAAGGAAAAGAAAATCAGTTCCTCTAAATCTGAGACCATGCTTAGTCGGAAAAGGGTAGAATGCCTTCTCCGGGTTAGGGATGAAAGCCTGTCTCAAGTGGAGGATTTTAAGTATCTTGGAGTCTTGTTCACGAGTGAAGGAAAGATGGACCAAGATCAATAGCTGAATTGATGCTGCGTCTACAGATTTATCGGCTAATCTACAGTCCTACCCTAATGAGCTTTGGGTAGTGACCGAAAAATGAGATTGTGGATACAAGTAGCCAAAACGAGTTTTCTCCGCAGGGTGTCAGGGCTCTCCCTTAAAAATAGGGTGAGAATTCCCGGTCATCTGGGAGGCGCTCAAAGTTGATCTGCTGCTCCTCCACTTTGAGAGGAGCCAGTTGAGGTGGCTCGAGCATCTGCTGCCTCCTGGACTTCTTCCTGATGAGGTTTTTCAGGCACGTCCAACCAGGAGGAGACCTGGAGGGACTATGTTTCTTGGCTGGCCAGGGAACTCTTTGGGATTCCTCTAGGGGAGCTGGCCAAAGTTATCGATTTATTTAAGAGGACATTGCATATTTATAAACAGCAATACAACTGTAAATATGCCAGACTGTAGCCTTAGGCTAATTTCCATCTGCTGTCCTCTGGCAGGTTAATGTCAACAGAGATAAATCAAAATAGAACATTTAGGAGCACATTGTACAAAAAACAAAAATGAAAACAAGTAAAAATATAAATGATTGCATATTTGAGCTCCCAGTCGCCACAGTTTCGATTTTCTTTTGAAATGAACAAATCTTGAGCTTTCCTTCACTGGTGTAGGAATGTTTAGCCCTGGAATGACGTTCCCCTAAAAGGGAGCTCACAGTCACCTACTGTAACTCGAGTTACTCTGGAAGAGTCCCTATGTGATTTTTGAATAATGAAATCACTCAATGGTGGAGGGGCTAGACCATGAATAACTTTATAGACGAGGCAAGCAGATTTAAAACGTTGAGAACTCAGTAGACAATATTTATCCAGACTTGGGCAGTGATGGTACATCATTGGCTTGTCCAGAATTTTCATTGCTCTTTAGCAAGGACTCATCAGGTCTGATAGCAGAAGAGACAGTAAATGACCAGCTGGTGATGCAATAGCCAATGTGAGACAATATCATCGAATGTAAAAATGTGCCTACTGCTTTAACTGTCAGGGACGCTCATATTTTTTAAATTGCGCAAATTATAATTTACAGTTTTGACAACATTTAGCACATTTTCTAAAAGATTTGGAATCTGTGACTGGGAAGAGCGAGGTCTGGGTCTCTGCTTAGGCTACTGACCGCGGATAAACGGACAATGATGGATAGAGAACAGATTTCAATTTAAGAATTGTCCTCATGATGCATGCAGGGTTTTACGTCAAATACAGCATCCCAACACAGGAGAAAAGAGGGGTTACAATCAATCAGTCATTTTATTTATAAAGCCCTTTCCCACCCCCAATCAAGGGGGCCCAAGGTGCTGAACATACTGTAGTGCAAAGAAGCAGCACAATAAAACAGCCCTATAATAAAATACAGAGAATGAGCTAAAAACAATAAAAATTGTGATCCAAAACATTAAAATGTGAATAAAACAACTAAGAAACAGATCTAAAATACATCTTAAGCCTTGCTTTAAAAGTGGGCATTGATGTGAACTGCTTGATTTCTTGTGGGAGTTGGTTCCAAAGCCGAGGAGCCAGAACTGCAAAGGCACGATCACCCCAGACTTGCGCCTTGATCGCAGTACCACCAAAAGGTCACTCTGACCCAAACGTAGCAATCTTGCAGGGACGTAACGGGTCAGCAGGGAGGCTAAATGTTGTGGCGCTGATCCAGCAGGGATTGAAAAAGGATTTTGAACAAGATGCAACTCTTCACCGGTAGCCAGTCCAAAGCTGTCAGGAGGGGAGTTACATGGTCCCATTTACGGGCTCCAAACAGAAATCTGGCAACAGCGTTTTGGACCAGCTGGAGCCGAGTCATTAAGGACTGGCTCAAGCCAGTATACAGGGAGTTGCAGTACTCTAGCCTAGAGATGATAAAAGCATTGGCTACAGTTTTCAACTCGTGCTTTGTTAAGATCGACTTAATATTAGATAAGCACCTTAACTGATAAAAACACGAACGAACAACAGAGTTCACCTGACTATCAAATCGCAGACCAGAGTCAATCTTGATGAAATAGGTTTAAATTAAGCTCCTGCAAGGGAGCTCGAGGAACTGCTGGAGCATAGTACAGTCTGGCATACAGGCAGTAGTAGGATACACTCAACACTATAACCAAGTGGATGAAATAGTGCACAGGAACCTCTGCACCAATATGGAAATAACCCAGAAGAGGATGTGATGGAGGTTGTCAATTAGGTGATGATGGCCAACCAACCAAACATGAATGTGGCAGTAGCAATAGATGTGGTGATCCCAAAAAACATTAAGAAGAGGGATCACGAGAGCCTTGGGAAACTCCCTGATCTAAAAAAAGAAATAGAGAATGTGAAGGTTCAACTCCTCACTCATGCCACTGGTCGTCTGACCCCCAAACTGGGAGAACGGCCACATAGATGACAGAAACAACCTCAGACTTTTCTGTCCAAAACAGATCCATCTAAAATGACTGGAAAAAGGAAGGTTTTTCAATCATTTAACTCAGAATCTTGAACTAAAAATACCTTATCTGTCTTTCTCTTCTGTGTTTGGGATATTGTGTGGCATTTAACCCAGTGTGAAATGTTTAGGGCCTGCATGTTATGTTTGCGTCAGCTGTCTGGCCCAGGAGAGCAGATGCAATGCAAGCATCTTTACAACACCCTTCAATGGGAAACTAAAAGTGTGGGCTTAGGCACACAATAGGTGGCTTACGAGGGCGTGAAGCTCATCACAATAAAAAATTCACCCACTCACAAGCTAGCTCTCATGCTATGAAACTGTTAAATTTTTTTTAGCTTTTTAAGAATTATCCTATCTGTCCATCATATCAAAAATGCTGATGATTATGCTTTTCTCTTCACTGCGGTGCAGCTGTACACATCTACAGCACAGAGGTTACACTCGTACATGCCACCACTCTTGGCTGTAGCAAAAGGAACGGTCGGATACAACAGTGATAAGATAAACAGATCGTAGAAACCAGCAGAAACTGTTACTGCCAGCATTTTGTTTCCATGCATGAAAGGACAAAAGCAGTAAGCTCAGCATAAACCTTTCAGAGCGCTGTACTCATGCCTGTAGCTGCCCTGGTCAGCATGACGCTCCAGTGCGGATGCTCAATGCCAGTCCTCTGCAGCCGTGGATTTTCCATGGCTTTATCTGACCTGAGCCTCCACACCAATCCACCACACACAATGTAAAACTCTGGCTAATCAGTTATGGCACCCCAAACCTGTTTTTGTACCAATCCTCAGGGAGCAGGAGTTCCGAACTTGCAAACTTAGTTGAGCTTTATGGGTCAAAGCTTTGATTGGAGTTCATCTGAATTGAACATTACAAACAAGACAATGGGCAGAAAGTTATGGTCTGTCAAATACTTTGGAATTATGTGTTTGGAAATGTCAAAATAAAAGGAAACCAGGAATGTGTTCATCCAACTTTCTCAACTCTCAACTTTTGTCTTTGGATCCTGCTTTAGCTAGACTGTTGCTAACCAGATTTCCACATCCTCATGTAAAATCAAGGAAAAAGAGCCAAAAAACATTTTAAAAACCACAAAAATTCTACCAAACAATATCTCATTAAACACGTTTACTTCTTCATTTCGGCACCTTTTAAGCTCTGATCTGGATGTTCTTCAGATCCAGCAAGAGAAGGGTTAAACAGGTTTGTTTTGACTCGTGGCATTGTGCTCTGGCCCCTCCCCTTTGCCCCGTGGCAGTGTCATGGCATTGGCGTGTTATAAAAAGGCCTCTGAGATCCCCCCAGCTCTGATAAAGAGGCTTAATGTTTGCAGGACATGCTCAATGTTTGTCCTTCCATGTCCTACTAACAACCAGCGTTGTTGACTCATAGATGCTCAGAGACTGGCGCACTGCTCCACTCAGGAGCGCTCTATGACAAAAACCTGAGTTTAGAAGGAAGAGCAGCAGATTCACTTCAGTTAGATTTTGGATTGTTGTTGTATTTAGCTTTAGAGTGATAGTTTATTTAAGGATTTTTTTTTATTTGTACAGTTTTGGTCTTTAGGTGAATCACTGCTAAGGAGAAACATCATCTTCCTTTACCTGATTGGTTATTTGTGTGTTGGCTTTTAACATTTCTGTGTAGAAGTTACCTTTTGAGCTTGCTCCACCATGTGGGAGTTCAGGTCTATGTCTTTCTGGCGGGCGGTGTTTGCCGAGTTCTACGGCACCATGTTCTTTGTATTCTTTGGATTGGGCGCAGCCCTCCGCTGGACCACTGGGCCCCAGAACGTTCTTCATGTTGCTTTCTGCTTTGGGCTGGCGGCTGCCACCTTTATCCAGTCCATCGGTCACATCAGCGGAGGACACATCAACCCGGCCGTCACTTTTGCCTACCTGATCGGATCTCAGATGTCCCTGTTCCGGGCTTTCTTCTATATCGTAGCCCAGTGTCTCGGGGCTCTGGCTGGTGCTGCTGTGCTGTACGGAGTCACACCCAGCAACATGAAGGGAAACCTGGCACTGAACACTGTAAGATTGGCTTTTGCTTTTTGATGACAATCACTTTTTCTTTGTTAGCTCTCTTCTTCATTGATCTTTATTTTCCATCACAGCTGCAGCCAGGAATCAGCCTTGGCATGGCCACCACTATTGAGATTTTTCTCACCCTCCAGCTGGTTGTCTGCGTCTTTGCGGTGACTGATGAGAGGCGCAATGGACGCCTGGGCTCTGCAGCCCTGGCCATCGGCTTTTCCGTGCTCATGGGGCATCTTCTTGGGGTAAGAATCAACTTGGGGTGAAGAAACTGTTCTAGACCTGTATGCAAGGATAAGTGTGTGAGATCTGTACCATCCTCGGGTTTTCTCTTTTATAGATGTACTACACAGGAGCAGGAATGAATCCTGCAAGGTCCTTCGCCCCAGCGCTCCTCATCAGGAACTTTGCCAACCACTGGGTAATTGTTTTACTCTACAAATCCGAATCATAGAGTGGACTCATATCCCTCACCCTTTTTGTTGCTATTCCAGGTGTACTGGGTGGGGCCCATGATTGGTGGTGCAATCGGCGCTTTGCTGTATGACTTCCTGCTCTTCCCACGTATGCGTGGTCTCTCTGAGAGAATTGCCACACTGAAGGGCACCCGGCCCCCAGAGACGGAAGCCCAGCTACAGACCAGGGGAGAGTCCATCGAGCTGAAGACACAGGCTCTATAAGCTCAGAGAAGAAGATTGGTGTTCTGACACTCCCACACACACTTCCTGCACCAGCCTCTCCCTCAATTCCTGTTCCATCCTCAACCTGTACTGTTCTTGCACACATACCTCCTCCCCAGCCTCCACACAAGCTCATCACCCCCGTTGGTCTCCCTGTTCTGCATCTCAAACTGGACCACAGTGAAAGGGCGCCCACAGCCCTGACCATCGTTATCCAACTTGATCTCTGCCCACCCACCATTCTCCTTTTTCTTTGTGAGAGGAAAAAGATGGAGGGTTGGAGCAGAACTGCCTGAAGGAGACCCTGCCCCCTCTGGCCTGTGGTGTAGGACCAGATAACAGCTGCTCAGGACAGGGTCCCGCAATTTCATCTTTTCTTTGTTTTTTCTTCCCTTTTCATAGTCTGCTAGGAGTGAAGCTACAGTAGAGCAGTGGACTTCTGCATGCTTTTCCAATTTTGATCAAGAGTGACCTCACTCTTTTTTGTTGAACTTTTGGTAAATTACTTTTCCAAATAGTATTTTACCACAATTTATTCTGTTTATATTTATCTTTTTTTCTTTAGCTGTATGTGTGTGTGTGTGTGTGTGTGTGTGTGTGTGTGTGTGTGTGTGTGTGTGTGTGTGTGTGTGTGTGTGTGCATGCATGAGAATGACAACAAAAAAACTGAAAGTGCTGGTTAGTCTGTGTTTCGTATGCGTGTGCGCTTGTTTTAATTGATTTATTTTTCTTTTAAATGACAATGCTACATTGATTTGTCTTCGTTGAGTTTTTTTCTTTGGTTATTTTAAATCTAAATGCTGCTTTTTTTGCCCTCGGTGATAACCAATCTACAAATTAAACCAGTTTTGTGTTTATAGCGATCACATTCAGCTATAAGAGGAATTGAACCCAAGAGTTTTAACCCTCCCACTGTCTTCATGGGTGACCCCCAGAGGAAAGTTGATCATTGAGCAGGGTTGATGGTTTATCCCTTGAGGTCCCTGTGGCAGGGGTGAGGTGATGCTCACTCCTCACCCCTGCCAGTATTTGAATTTTTGCCTTATGTGGTACACCGCGTAGGATCATGATGCTCCCACATAAAAAAACACATTAAAATAAAAATACAAAAAACAAATACTAAACATTTAGTTTTTTTAGACTTTTGTTTTAAATAAATATATTAAAATTTGTATTATTGCACCCACATTTGTACCATATGACTTGTTCAGCCTACTTTTTCTTTGCCTTTCTGACATCATTTGTCCTAAACGTTTATATGTACGGAAACAAAGCAACCGAGCAGAACAAATGAGTTGTCATAAAGAAGAAACAAAAATCACGTTTGAGTTGTTTCTCTTATGAATCTCTGTACTTAAACTTGAGGTTTGAAATGAAGGAGTGGTCGATAGGTGTCCTGCAAACACCTGGTGCTGTTTCTGTCCTGCTCTCAGCCGATCAGTTCACCGGAGATTAGACACGGTTCAAATGAATACACCAAACATGTTAACCGATTCTCTTCCCACTTCCTCTGCATTTTTTCCAGTGTGTTTTCATGACGGTGATTGGGTAGAATTTACACTCTGTTATGGTTTCTAATGGAAAAGCTTCATGTACAGTGTAAAATTTTATTTTGTAAAAATGAGGTGATTGTTGAAAATGAATGAAAACTGAATGAAGAGCAAATACAAGATGCTACCTATGCAGTGAGTTCTTGTTGGTTGCCAAATAATGAAAGTGATGGATCAGAACTTTTATTATTCATTATTTTTATGTTCAAGTCAAAATCATGCCATGTTCGCAGAAACGGTTTTGCTTGTGCTTATTTGAACACGCTGCAGAGGAACGGAAATCACACAGTTACCTAAATAATACATAAATCACAAAGGTGAAAGAAACATGTCACTGCTGTTGCTACTTGGAAAAATCAAGCATCATTTTTTAAGTTTCAACTTAATACTGAATCTTGATTTAAAAAAGTAGAAACAATCAGTTTTATTACAAAATAATATTGTCAGTTTTAGGGAAAATGTTTTATTTTATTTGTTGTCACAGTCAAAGAGTAGTACTGGAAAAACAATGGAGAGATTTATGTTAAAGGAACATTGCACACATACATGGTAGTGAAAGCTAATTATAAAAGCTTGAGTTTATTTTTTAAAAAGCTGCTTTTTGTTATGATTCGGTGAAAATCGAAGCCGCTAAAATCAGAAAAACAAGAAAATGTTTCCTTACAATAAAATATTAGGCTAAAAAAAAGTTCAATCGTCTAAAGAATAAAAACTGTTTCACAAACATTTACTTTGTTTAAAACTCACCTGTCCATTAAAACATTCAAATTAGAAAAATTAATACGAGCCAGGTACATGTTTAGTTTATACTATATTTATGTTTACTGGATGTTTTAAAAGAAACACTGAAAAACACTGAATGACTAAACTGTGCTTGCTATATATGAAGCAAAAGTGAGATTTTAACTGACAAAGATGCAACATAAAGCTTTGCCCACCTTCTTCACTACATTGCTTATCTGTTGTAATCCAACAGCATGCTAGAGTTAGAGTAATCAGGACGACATGACCCTAATTACAACTTTCGGGCCAAACCTCCAGCTGACTGCTTTCTATACATAGGCTACTGTGTAATATTCCTGCTACAGCTGATTGATTCATGATAGCGTGTATTGATTATAAGGAAGAATTATACATTTGCATGTTGCTATTTCAATATTTTTCACAGCATCACTAAATATCTGACAAGTGGAAAGTTACCTAAATACAAATCAGCTGAGCAAAATAAAACCACGAGAGCAAAAACTTCAATGCACAAGGAGCTGCAGGCCAGCAACTCACAGGAGTGAGGTGGGATTTAGTTTTACTCTGCACTCGAAGCAACATTCTGCTGTTCAACATGTTGATCCTCAAGAGTTCTGCAGCAGAAACAAATAATGATGGCTGAACTGTCACCGTTCCTTCCTGCATTTCCTTTGAGCACGAAAATCAACTTTTGCTTCCTCTATTTACACAAACATGCATGACTGTCATGCAAGAGTACAAGTTTACCAGCTGACCAAGAAAATGACGATCTTTGTGAACTGCTCATTAAAGTCATGCAAATTGTTCAAATTTTTAAAGTTGAATGAAATAGCATCAGTGAAGAGTCTACTCAGCAATACATTTAAAAAAATTCTCATATTGGTAACAAATCTCAACGAACTACTTTAAATGAAAAGAGAATAATTATTATAAAAGAGAATTAATGTGAAGAAGCAAATTTAACATTTCGAATCTTGGATAGGAAAAATTGATTTGTATTCATTTTACTCAACATCTGTCACTTCCTTTTTCAAAAGTGCATTTTATTTATTATGTTATTACTTCTTAGGTTTGTTTTTTGAACATTGTGTTTTAGGTTCTCCCCACTGATTCAAATGGTATTCCATATCAGAAGATATAAGAGCAGTGCTTCACATAAGTATCAATTTGAAGAGCGTGCTGTGGACTGGAAGGGTGTGCTTAGTTCAGATTTAATTCTGTAAGTGCCATTGGCCCCCATTTCTACCTCTGCCAGACGTGTGTCTTCTATTTCTTTATGTAAATGCAGGTCAAATTGTAGATGTCAGAAAAAGAAATCAGCATAAACACCTGAGTCATCCAGGATGTGTTTGGCTTCAGTCATGACGCCGTGTCTTCAGGTGTAAACGGTGAAGGAAGGAAAGAACACATTCACTTGTTTCGTAGGAGTTGAGTTTGGGTTCAGTTTCGACTTGATGTCAGCCGCGATTTCCAAAAACCAGCATGTAATAAATTTGTCTAACAATAAAAATGCATGCCGGGTTGACTGGAGTTGTCTCTACGAGTGAGTGGGTGTGTGAACGGTCGTTTTTCTCTGTGTGGTCCTATGATGGGCTGGTGACCTGTCCAGGGTGTCCTCCACCTCTTGCGCCAGATCCCCGTGGATGCGGCTGAGCAGAGAAGGTATTTAGATCCTCAAATAAGTCACATTCCATACTGCTATCTGGAAAACTGCAAGGCAAACAAATACACATGAAGACATCTTGGCACGGTCTACTTTAGTTGCAAATTAAAATTAGGGATCGAAATGATGAGGAAAACCTACCTGGGGTTAGAAAAAATGGGAGGGACAGCCGGATTGGTGTTGTCAACCCTCATTTGATCAAACTGCTGCTGGTATGGGTCCCTGAGAAGCAGCAGGTGTTGTAGCGTTACAAGCAGGAAACGTGACTTCATGAACTCATTACCCTACAATGGCAAATCTGCAAAACAAGCTAGCTTAAAACATTTTTCCATGTTTCTTAATAACGTTCTACTGGACTATCTGGCTGTCTCTCTCACTGAACTACTGCACTATCCTGGGTCCTCCACTCATTACACAATCACACATTTTGCAATAGAACACCATTGGGGTGAAAGGTTTGATGCTCAATCAGAGAAGGTGAAACAGCCGGCTGTTACCACTTCAACTTTAAGACAAATTACCAGAGCCCCCCCCCCCCCCCCCCCCCCCCAAAAAAAAAACACTGAATTTGAAGTCACGGACAACAAAAGACATTTAGACATAGAAAACAACACTTGGTGTTTAGCACAATTTCGTTTACTGTTGCAATGTGTGTTCCCATATCAGGCGGACATGGTGTAGGGCCAGGTTTCCCAACCCTGGTCCTCGGGGCACACTGACCTGCATCTTTTCCATGTCTGTGCTTCAGCACACCTGATTTACATTGCCTCCTCAGGAGGACATCAAGAGCTGCAGATAGCCGTTAATCACTCATTCATTTAAGTCAGGTGTGTGGCAGCAGGGACACACTGGCGTTTGAAAGGGCAACATGGAAAACATGCAGGACAGTGGTCCCCGAGGACCAGGCTTGGGAAACACTGGTCTAGCGGTGATAGCCAACAGGAGGGGTGACAGTTCCGTGACTGTGTTTAAAAAATTGCTTGATAGAAATCAGCAGCTTTAAAGTTATGTCGAATCTACAAAAAGTTAGTTTTTGAATGCAAACACGGTCACGGACCTCTCACCCCTCCCCTCAGGTATCTTCCCAAAGATGCTTTTGCCGGAACCAGAAACCCACTTTGCCAGATGAAACAAGACAGTGCTGGCTGTTTCTCCTTCTCTGATATTACTGGGCTGTGAATCTCTTACACCAGTGGTGTTCTGTTGCTAACTATGCAAGTGTGTAATGTAGGGCTGGGCGATCATATGATAGCACTTTGTGATCACGATCATTTTCAGTTCAATTACGGTGATCAGCTGGGAGTCTCGATCAGAAATAACAGATGTTTGCAGCCTCAGTGGGGGGCGCTAACCCTCCATGCGCGTTGGTTGCCCACGCCATTTAACAAAAAGAAGACGCATTACACTTTTCCTGCTCCGCTACTTCGGTGGAGAGGTTTAATAAGCAGAATGGCCAAACGTGGAGCTGAAGACAGCGAAGTAGATCCTAGTCATGACTCGGAGTTGTCTTGTGGAGATGAAGACATTGTTCAGAAGAAAAGTTACTCAACGTCAGTTGTGTGGCGGTGGTTCGGGTATCTCAAAAGTGACGTTGAGCAAATCAAGCCGACATGCAAGGTATGTCGGCGAATGGTGCCTTCAAAAACTGGCAACACTATGAATCTATTTAATCATCTAAAGAAATACCACCCAAGTGATTATACAGAGAACATGAAAATGCGAGCAGAGTCCGGACAACTTGTTAGCTTGTCTCAAAGTAGACTTAGCACTAGCGCGGCTGCTAGTAGTGGTCCAGCCGGCACTGGAATCAATCATCTTGTACTTTTCAGCTGTTGCACCGTACCAGCGGAACTCAAAAAGAAGCAAAACCATCACAAAGCTATAACTTTTTGTATAGCAAAAGACATGACGCCTCTGAACATCATGTTCTAATATTTGATTAGAGAATTCTGCACTGCTAATTTTTATATTTGTTTTCCGTTGTTTGATTTTGTACCTGCAAAGTAGCTAAACAGTATTATTAAGATTAAGTGCCAGTAGCTATGGCATAAACGGCATTTACATATCACAGATAAAAAAGTTTACATTTTAGGGTATGTTAATTTTCCCAAAGCAGATAATTTGTTTATTTTGTACCTGTATAGCATTAAAGACACACAGAATGTCAATAAGAGGTTTAACTAATATCTAGTTTCTTTATTTTTACATTTTAAGCTGCTTTAAACTGACGATATGAAAATTAATCGTGATTAAAATCGAGATCGAACGATATGGAAAAATATATCATGAGCATTCTTTTTGCCATATCGCCCAGGCCTAGTGTAATGCATGGCGGTTTGACGAGACTGAAAACTGGGTGGTCCAATGGTTACTTGTTATTGGCAGAGGGTATTTAGACAAATGCGTAATTAAGAGGCATGAAAAAAATGTTTGTTTTCCAAATTTGCTATAACAGCTTGAACAGTATTAGTTTCACAATTAATACCTTACACTGTATGACCCTTACTGTCCAAAAATGAAGAAATCTTACAAAAAGATGTTCTGCTTTACTGTTTCATTCATTTTCATAAACCTGCTAATGTGCAGTATCAATGTCACCAAACGTAGGAGTGTTGTCCCGAGGGGAATGAGGCAGCAGAAGCAACACCACAAAGACAAGCATGATGACCACTTGGCACAGTATTACACCACTTTTGATAAAGGTAGTAACTGATACAATGGAGGAAACCTACGTGAGTCCAGGATAGATGGAAGAACATGTGTTGTCTTGAACCCTCAGCTGATCAACCGCTTGCGGTGATGAATAGCTGTAAAAGGTGTTGCAGCATTACAAGCAGAGCACTTTAACTCACTTACTCACTGATACTTAATTTATAAATTTGCTCATTTCTGACATTACAATGTGTCACTGATGGCAGCATTATGTGGATTGTGCCTCTAGTGGGAGAAGCCTAGATACACATTTTTGACTCAAAGTTCCCATAGCAACATGCAGCGAGGTTACTGCCTTAGGTTCTTTACAAACCCTGCAGCATTTGTTGGCTGGTGTCAAATTAAAGATGCCGGCACAGCAGCGTTAGCTGGCACAGACTCATCAACCCAACAGGCGCACAGATTGTAAATAAAAACTACGTCCCTCTTTAGCTTTTTTGGGAGAAGAACTGACAACTGTCCAGCCAGCTGAGTAGGAAGTCTGTTAGAATGTAACTTTCTTTCCAACATGGTTGAGACTTTACACTACTTTGTAATTATTTCACTGTAAAAGTCTTACATATTGTACCTTTAGGGGTGTAAAGGAAAATAAAAATTAAATATTTCAATAGGGGTGATACTTTTCCATACCCTAGGGCAAACAGCAGAAGCAGCAGGTGTGTGTGTGTGTGTGTGTGTGTGTGTGTGTGTGTGTGTGTGTGCGTGCGCACGTGAGTGTCTGTGTGTGTGTGTGTGTGTGTGCGCGTGTGTTTAGCCTATTTCAAAAACCAATGACACCACTTTGCCACAAAGTCGAGGCAGCATCAGGGAGTCATGTGGAGGTAATGTAGCATTATCATGTGTTTTTCACAAAATATTATGCGTATTAGCTTAGGCATGACTTGTTTTCTATCCTGATTGAAGCCACACTCCTTTTATTCAAGAGCCTCTCCAAACGATGGCTGTCCTTCACAGTCCCTGTCAGCTGCCTGGCAATCTGTGCTAACGACCAAACGCTCCCAAATCTCTGCATCGCTCCGGTTTGCCATTTCAGCTAATACTGTTCACGGATGCGAAACAAACTCCCCATGTTTACATGTATTTTAAATACTGTTGCCTCTTGGGGACGGCAGACATTCCGCACGTGATCATGACATCACCCTCTGTTGCAGGCATGACCTTCAGACATCCACCATTGCTGTAATAATACTATAAAGCTTGGTGGCATGAATGCCACAATTTTCTCATCTTGCTATGATGTCACAGCACTTTCAAAAGACACACCGTGGCATCATTATGTGTGCTTTTGCCCAATCTCCCAGATCCCTTCTGCTGTAGGCCTGATGGGAATAGGGTAGCCAAGCCAACACCATGAGGACAAACAATTAGACATTGTGACCACTAAGCATAGTCTGACACCACCTTAGATAAAAACATATTCAGTAACCAATATGATGAGAAAACTTACTTGATTACTTCATAGATTTGAGAATCACTAGAGTGTTCAGCATTGGACATCCCCAATACACTAAGCGGCTGCTGGAAGGGATCCCTGAAAAAAGCAGCAGGTGTTGCAGAGTTACAAGCAGGGCATTTAAATTCCTTAATGCATTAAAACTCTCTTCTACATGTAGAAATCCTTTCGCTAATGATTTCTTATCAGGTTGAAATAAACTAACACTTAAAATGTGCACAAAATGGAAATTTAAGCTTTAGCCTTATAAGATTTGGACACAAGCTCAGGGTTGTTTTCCTCAAATTAAATATTAGAATGAACATTTAGTTTGTCGAAGAATAAAAAAATTATGTTAGCTAATTTCTTATATTACAGTGTGTCATTAATAGTAGTGATGTGGGCAATGTCTCTAGGGCAAGAAGAGTGGCAACACATTTTTAACCCAACTTCCAACTAGGGCTGCACAATACATCGCAACTGTATCGCTGGCGATATCGGCATGTGCAATACTCAGATCATAAAAAACAGAACAAAACGCGATAAATGGTCCACTCAAATGTTTGCTACGCATAATGCATTGTGTCAATCAAATGGAAGTATGACGTTTTTGACTAATCAAATAGGGAGCCTAAGTCATTTCCGCACCGTGGGTCCCTGGGAGAACAAAAAATGAATGCAAGTCAACGGAGCTAAAAACGTTATTTTCTAATCCGCTTTGCCTTGCGCCCTGGATAGCATATATGTTGTACTGCAATTTAAATGGTAAGTAATGATGGGTGTTTCGACCATGCCAGTCACGTACTTTGAGATTTATTAGCTTGTAAAAGTTCGTAATTAGCATGACTACAAATTAGAAATCGGCACGTCGCATATGTGATGCCGCCACATAATCTCCTCTTCCCAAAGTAGCTGCTACTTAACAAATGACCAGATTTATGGTGGTTCTTTCCTCCTGTGGGAAGTTTGCTGAATTTACGGCACTTTTCCCACAGTTTTCTCTGTGTCTGATTTGATGACGTCACTTTCGTGAAGCGCATTTGTAGTCCTGGACTTATTTTGACACAAAACTAAAATATCGTTCCCCCCGTTTGAAAATAAGCCATGTTCTCGGTATCAAAATGCGTCTGTAAAATTCACGGACATCATGTGTGAAATCCATGGCACAAAACAAGCGGAATTAGAAAATAGCGCTTTTAGCCTCATTTTTTGTTCTTCCGAGGACCCATGGTGCAGAAGTAACTTATGCTCTCTATAGAGCTCTTCACCCATTTGGCCAGTCGGGTGGGTTCTTGTAGGTTAGATGACCGCCCCCAGGCGGACGGAACTCGCCTCTGTCAGTGCGCAGCTTGTCCCAGGATCCACGGATTTCCTTTACTTGCTCATTTTCCTTTGCTCTTTCCTCACAGATTTTGATGACAATATTTGCGTTTCCCATTTCTAAGATGTTTTTAGTCATTTTTAAAATTTTCATATTTTTTGGTTCTTGAGTCAAGCATTTGTTTATTGCAAGTCATATCATCATCGCACCGTTAATCACTTTTATCGTGCATCGCAGGTTTTCCTAATATCGTGCAGCCCTAACTTCAATCACTGATTACTCATAACAACATCAGATCCAAGCATCCAAAATATTTTTACAGAATCAAACTCTAACTCAAGAGTCCTATTACATGGATAAGGCTTTTTAATAACAAAAACATTTATCTTCTGTGCAGCAATAGTGAAGTTACACTTACAAATCCAGATCTGGAAGATCTGTTGAGGGCATGTCGTCTCTGCACATGTATGAAAAATGTAAGTCAGTAAAATGAAAGGAGAACAAATACCATACACTGCAAAAAGATTATAATCCAGCTGTATCCTTCAAATGTAAATACAAATGGAGCATTGTTATTTCATTAAATCTGCATTGTGTAATACTTTTGTTAAAATAAAAGCTTTTTTTTAATATATAAACCCAGTTTTTTCATCTCCTGACCATAAGACTGAATTTAGTACATTTTGCCTCAATCGCATGTAGAGGCAGAGAATATATTTACAGTGCTCACACCCCACTACATCTGTCAGAAAACCTTTAGTTTCCTTTCAGAATCAACTTTCTCTATCAGATGCCATACTACAAAATTGATTGCAAACAAGATTTGTTCATTTGCACACACAGAATAAGTGATTTTCTTACCAAATCCATTCATGCCAATGTTGCAAAAATGAGTGCTGCTGGTGTTGGGGAGCTGCATTTCATTGATGTATCATGAACTCAACAATGTACTGCTCTATACTGGAGGAGATGCTGCCATCACTCCGTGCGCTTGGTCATCGGGCACTTTGCCAACACGACAATGATCCAAAACACACATCTAAAGCTACTGTTGCATTTCTGAAGAAGAACAGGGTGAAGATGATTGAAAGGCCAAGTATGTCTCCTGATCTGAACCCAATCGAACTTCAGTGGGAAATTCTGAAGCCGCTCCATCCAGCATCCAGGCGGTAAAAGAGACTTGGTGCTGTGCTTGAAAACCATAGTGGTCATACAAAATACTTGCTGTAGTTTTTGTTGCTGAGTGTATGGATTTTTGCTTCAAATAATTTTAGTAGAACTGAAGATTTTGTGACCTAAATTATATTATTAATCTTAATTTCATGTTATGGAGTTTAACAAGTGTTCAATAAAACCCAGCCTTGTGAAAATTCTGGAAAGTTTTTTTTGTTCATTGAGCTACTGATTAAATTCATACTTTTTAAGGGGGATGTACTCATTTATGCTGAGCACTGAAACTGAAGGGGTTCAGGCAGGTACCATCTATGGGGGCAGCCCGATTTTTGCTCACTGTCCCAGGGATACCTTTCTGTGATCGCCTGGTTCTCCAGCGCTCTCCCCGACCAACCCGTCAACTATCATCGGCCTCTCGTCCAACCCCTATGACACAGCTATTTCTTGATTTGAGTCATGGTTGAACAGCAACCAGAGACATAGTTGTAAAACAAGCTTTAGGTTTTGTAAAATGTCCTTTAGGTTCCTGAACCAGTGACACTAGCTCTGCGATTAGAACCTATGTGCTGGAACCTCGTCTAGAATTAGCTGCCATTCACAATAGTGCAGTTAAACTAATTACCCTGAACAATTAGCGGGAGTATGCCAACACAGGTTCTACTTGAACTAGAAATTCTATCCAATGAATGTAGTCTATAAAGTTTACTTTTTTATTTAATCATTATTTTTAAAGCTAAATGTACAAATGAGGCTTGTTTTTAGAACATATTTAAAAAGGTAAATGGTGAATGTAAAATAGCCTGTATTTGATACAGCACCTTCTAGGATTCTTCAACCCCCCAAGGCTCTTGAGAACACACACACACACACACACACACACACACACACACACACACACACACACACACACACGGTAATATGGTCAATGAAATATTTGAAGGTACTCTTACATGGCAATGCCATCCATCGGTTGTATGTGACTCGGGGAAATGGCATCTCTGTAAATATGTAAAAAAAAATTCATAGTATCACCATCACCATGACAGACGTACAGCAAAATGAAACTCGTATTTATCCCTTTGATGCATAATGGTCACTACAGTGGACAGGTACTCAAAATTGTTATTTATTTATTTTTGCTATTAAGCACAGCTGTTGAAGACTTTACTGCATTTAAGCCCCTTCATTTGGACTTCAGTAAGCCAAGCCAACATATTTCATGTTCAGAATGCACGCTGTCCACTGAGGTGGACATGTAATAAACTATGTGTAAATTAAATGTTACAAAAAATATGTAAATATGAAATTTGTTTCATTCACACCTAAAGATGAATGAAAAAAAATGTTTAAAAAATCATGGTTGAAGATTTCATAATTCATGCATCAAAGGGTTAAACCAAGATGGAAGACAAAAACTTAAAGGTGTGGATCACTGGAAAAATATTTATTATTACTATTTCTGATTATAATCAGTCACTGAGTTTTTCATGCAGGCTGAACATGAAAATAGTCTCCTACACTTATCTGCTGCATTAGCGTCTTATAGAAAATAGACAGTGAAACTCTAGGATTTGAAAAGCCTGACATTGTCACTTAACACTCATGGACACCCATCTTGATTTGTTGTTATTGTTTTAACGTCCAGGAAACAGAAGCTAATTGTTAGCATAAGCAACTCCACCACATGGCAGAACTCCTCCAGGCTTGCGTTATTTGTGGAGATAAAACATTCATGTCACAGAGCCAACGGAGTCAGTGGTGTTGCTGTTATCCAATCTGAGGCAAGATGTCTAAATACAACCGTGTCCTCTGTGTGTTCTTGTTTGGATGTTAATCATGGAATTATTTGGACGAAAAGGGAAAGCTGTGGTATTGATTGCAATAATAGATCATCCAAGAAGCCTCTGCTTCCTTTTTATCAGTAAGTAAAATTATATTTCTGTATTTTATTTCACTGGTTGAATGGGGGAAATGATGTGTGTTTAATATAACACTGCTTGATCAAAGATGGGTTGAAATATAACGTGTTGGTGGAGCTGCTGGCTGGGTAATGAAACCCAAGCTAGATAAGCTACTATAAGCTCTTTGACTTGATGCGTGCTTCACGTCGGAGTCACTCAGCCACATTTTTCTGGCTAAAAGCGCCAAAAAACCTCTGTTAGCTTCAGGTTACCTTCAGGTTAGCTCAGGTAGTTTGTAGCTAACTCGTTTGCTCTAAGCTCTGTGTAGCTTTGGGTTAGCCTGTAGCTACACTGGTTCATCATTTATGGGTGTCAATTCTTTGCTCCCATCCTCACAGCCTCACTCTCAGCTCCAACTCTTCCCATTTTTGGATTGTCTGGGCGTGACGAGACATGTAACACAGCCAAGATGGCGGTGATCAGAACCACCCTCGGCTTCAAAAAAGCCCCACAAAGAGCTGTGGGTGGGGTTTGTCCATCTTTTTCATACAGTCGTTGCTTGCAAGGCATTCATTCTTATAGAAACCCCAGCAAGTGCATTGATTAAACGAGTTTCCCACACCTTTAAAGAAAGCATTTACTTTGTTAACTGTAAGACTTTCAATTATCTCATCATCCCATCATGAGCATCCAGGAGACTTCTAATTTACACGTGCAGATGTAACATGTTCCCACAGCCAGAGAACTGCTTTCCACATGTCTGCATCCAAAGCAAACCACGACAGCATGAGGCTAAGATCTCGAACACTTACAGGATGAAGCCCGTGGGATTGTTGGGCTGAGGTACAATATTAGCAGCAGGAAGCGTGGATTCCCTGCACACACAGAAATACACAAAAGCAAAAACATTTCAGGTTCCCTTTTCAAGTTTTAACACCAAACTGAAAATGTAGTAAATTGACATTTAAAAAGACAACTTACGTGCCTACTTTAGTCGTAAGAGTTACAGGAATGTATCCTGAATCAGCTTGCTGTGGAGCAACTGTTTCAAACCAGAAAACCAATAAAATATCAAGTCTCAGTTCTGTGTCTTTACTAATTACTTTAAACTGAACCATGTGAAGAATGTTACCTGTGAAGAATTTTTTGAAAGCTTCAAACTTGTTTTTGCCAGGATACAAGTACAATATCTCACAAATGTCCCGGAGGCGGTTGCCAAGGCTGCGTATCTCAAGGTCTCTCTTAGTGAAAGGCTGGATATTCTGGATTTGCCGCACTCCATCTAGGAAAGAAATTAAACTTGTTTGTTGGAATAAAGGTGAACATATGTATGTGTTACACAGTTTAAACATATGCACTACTTTTTAATGAGTACCTTTCAGTAAAGTAAAGTCAGGGCAGACACTTATACCACTAGGCCACTGAGATGGACACTCAAAGTTTGCATATTTTGGAAACCACTGCAGTAAATCAAGTCAGCACCATTTTTACTGAGTGCATTTAAATTATTAAAGTGGCAGTGTGTAATTTCCTGCCACTAGGGGGCAGTACATGCATTTCAGGGTAGTTTGACACCATATCGCCGTGACTGTTGCTAGTTTTAAAAAACACTACGGTAAATGTTATTTCCTGTGGAGCAGAAAGCATGCAACCTTGGCATGATTCCTCAGACTTTGATGGCCCTTCAGTTAATTCCATCGAGAGATTGCAATACCGATGCTAGTGTTCTGGCGCTGTAGTTTCTGGATCTGCTCACGGTCCTGCGCCTACCGATGACGTCATCATACTACAACAATACCGCTCGGCCAAAATATATTGCATTTCTTTTTCAATTCTGTTCTGTCACATAGGTTTTGGAAAGAGTTTTGCAGTTTTGTTATTAAATTTGTGTTTCTTACTGCTTAAATGTATTAGAACGTTGTTAACGTAATTTCTGTAAGCCGTACGTCCAGTCAATCATCTAGAGTGATGTCATCAACAGGTGCAACACCCTGAGCCCTCCAGAAGGATACACATGGCGTCCCCACAGAAGTTAGACCCGCACCATATGTACTTTAGACCTGGTTTTTATGGTTATATGGTACAAAGCTGCTAATATTTTTCAACAACTGGACATCATTTTGTTCATTTTCAACAATGTTTCGATGAACATTTCCAGAGATTAATGGTAAAAACTAAACATAGTCTCTTTAAGAATAAATGAAACCAGGTTAAAAAATATTTTACTTTCTAAAACAACCACATAGGCGATGCTGATGCCTCCAATCTCAGAGTCGCTGAAGCGAAGCAGGAAAGTCCCGCCGGGGCTGTTTTTAAGAATGTTGTGTAGATGTTGCTTTCCAATGAATCCAAATATCAGCCTGTTGGCTCAAACATTAAAAATTCTGGTTATTATCACTGACTATCACAGTATTCTCAGATCAGAAGAAGTAAAGTCCTCTCACTGTTCACTCCAGTAGGGCTTCAGATGCTTCTTGGTCAATTCAATTGCTCCCTCAAACCACTGCCAGAAAGTGAACGGTCGACCTGGGAGCATCTCCTGTAAGGTCGAAGGCACAGTGAGATATCTGATTCAGTGTGTGTGTCTGCGTGTGTACTCGTCTATACATCAAAGTGAGGACCAATGACAAGCTTTTTACCTGCAAACTGAGGACATTAGTAGCGAAATGAGGACATTTTGCTGGTCCTTACTTTGGTACAATGCTACAGAGCTCTACTTGTTAGTTTTAGAAGTATGGTGTGAATTAAGTTTTAGTTAAGGTCAGGGTTAGAGTTAGGGTTAGGCAGGTCCTCACAACAAATACTAGACTAGAATGTGTGTATGTGTGTGTATGATTGAGTAAGAGAGAGCGAGAGAGAGAGCGAGAGAGAGAAAGAGCGCGAGAGAGAGAGAGAATACCTTATTAAACTGAGCCCAGGAGACCATCATGTCGTCAAAGATCTCAATAGTGCTTTGGGTGTCAAATATCTTCTCTGCCAAACAGTGTTTGTTGTAGTAAGTCATCTGGAACTCTGTTTGGACCTCAGAAGTAAATTTCAGATTGAGGGTGTTGAACATCAGCCTCCAGGGCACACTATCTGGCACCACAAAGGGCCTTCGGTCCTGAAGACAAACAACAACAACAACAAAAAAGCTGGTGTGAAGAAAAGACCGACGAAAACAAAGTGAGTTTACCGATGAGGCTATAATGGTGAAAACAAACCAAATCCTGATTAGAAGCTTACTTGTTCAGCAAAGGCGCAGTCCCATATAATGGTGGCCAAAGCATTGTTGTCTTGACTGCCATGAACAATGATGACGACAGGCTGAGAGATCCACTGTAATCAGTAGAATAAGGTTATCTTTACTAATGAAGCCGTTTCCATCAGACAGCAGCAGAAAAATGCTTCAGTCCAAACCTGTATCTTGAATGAAGTATCACAGCCTGTGATAGAGATCTCTGTGGAGAACAGAAGGGCAAACTTCTCTTCCGTCACAGACTCGGAACCCTTTCTGTCTGCTCGCCTTATTCTCTTGATGGACTATTTGGAAAATATTTGGTTTTATTTTGACATTAAAGCTCAAAAAAGATCTCATGTGGGATGCAAAACCAGGACTAGTACATACCATGTTTCTGAAGGTGGCACAGGAGCATTTGGTAGATGTGTTGTGCTCCAAGACGGCTGCATTGTTGATCACATCACCAACATTTTCACTGCTGATAAAGTTTTAATGTCAGGTTTTTCCACAGATAAAATAACTATGGAGTCAGCAGACTCATAGAAGGGGTGCATGCTTTTGCTGATTATGAAAGTTTCATGAAAATGTTTATATTTCATGTGAATCATTAGTTCTGTAGAAGTATGACTATTACCAGCACTCATTTCTGTTTGAGTACATTTATTTGTTGACATTTCTCTTAATTCTATGTTCATAATAGATTTCAATTCAATCAAATTGAAAGAGAGGATGAATCCTATTTAGATATAGGATATTCATAGATGGACCCAGGCCATCATAGCTGAAAAACACCTGAACAAAGTAATTTGATCCAAGACTATTTGAGTTTGTCTTTTAAATTAAGACAAACAAAAATTGTAACTACAGAAATGCGTATGCTTATTTTATCACATAAAACAAGCATAAAAAAGTACTTATTTTATGTGATAAACCTAAAGTTGCTAAAAGAATAGCTACAAGTGGGAAAAACCTGAAATGTCAACTTTCCACCAGCCTGGAAATCTAGACAAACTGTAGCAGTAGCATAAGTTTTTGCTCTGCAGGTGGGTTGTAGGCTATAACTTGTAGCCTCATCAGGTCTACCAGTGACTCAAACTATTTTGTATCATGCCAACCACAGCACTGTGTGTTTGTTGGGCTGGCTTAGTACCAGATCTGCAACAGAGAAAAACTACAAAGATGGCATCGGCTTAGGAACGGTGCTCATCTGGGACAACTTTGGCATCAACTTTGGATTATTTAGACTTGAGCTTTTCATTGAGACATGAGCAAATAAAGGAAATCAAGACCTTTTTTTCGAAAAAGAATGTATTTGCTTCTTCTTCTATGGTGCATGGGGGACTGTTGTGTTCACTGATTTTCACAGTGAAGAATATGTCATGTTGTTCTTGGCTCTGATTAGTCCTTACATTGTCTAGCTGCGTGCGGAGACCGTTTGAATGACAACCGTATCTTCTACTCCACGACTGAGCTCTGCTCCTTTTCTGTGGCCGTCTCCAAGTTTAGGTCCTCCACCACCTCCCTTACCCATGGTGTCCCACAAGGTTCTGTGCTGGGGCCTCTGCTCTTCCTCCTCTATCTGCTTCCTCTTCAGCACATCCTGAGCTCCTTCAAAGGAATCTCCTACCATCTTTACGCAGATGACATCCAACTGTACATCTCCTTTAAGCCCCATGAGATGTCTAAGCTGCAGCTGTTACACACCTGCTTAGACTCCATTAAAACCTGGATGGCTGGGAGCTTTCTTCAGCTGAATGAAGATAAGACTGAGATCCTCAGCTGTGCCCCAGACAAGCTGGTTCCCAAAGTCAGAGACTCTCTTGGTCAGCTTGCTTCTCACACCAAACCTTCCGTCAAGAATCTTGGCATGACCTTTGACCCAGCTCTCACCCTGGATTCTCATGTCAGTTCTCTTGTTCGCTCTTCCTTCTTCCATCTCAGGAACATTGCTAAGCTGAGCCCCATTCTGTCTCGCTCTGAACTTGAGATTGTTATCCACACCTTCATCTCCTCACGCTTAGACTATTGTAACTCTCTTTTCACGTGTCTGAGCAGAACCTCCCTGAACCGTCTACAGGTGGTTCAGAATGCCTGTGCTCGACTTCTGACCAAGTCCTCCAAACACACCCACATCACCCCACTTCTCCTCCAGCTTCAATGACTGCCAGTCAACTTCAGGGTTCATTTCATGATCCTGGTTCTGGTCTATAGGACCTTACATGGACAAGCACCATCTTACATTGGTGATCTTCTTAGTCCCTACACCCCCAGCAGGTCCCTGAGGTCCAGTGACCAAAGCCTACTGGTTGTGCAGCGCACCAGGCTTAAGACCAAAGGTGACAGATCATTTGCTGCTGTGGCCTCCAGACTCTGGAACTCTCTCCCCCTGAGCCTGAGATCAGTGGACTCAGTGGTCTCCTTTAAAAAGCAGCTGAAGACTCACTTGTTCAAGCTGGTTTTGGTGTGACCTTCATCACCCTCTCCTTGTTCTGCTCTCCCCACCTATTCCGCCTTCCTCGGGATCCACTGATTTCCCTCTTTCCTATTCACTCTCTCTTTCTTAACATTTTCTAATCACAATTGTCTATTTTTTGCTCATTTTAAATATATTTTTAATCATTTTCTAAATTATTTTTTATATTTTTACATTTTGTTTTTGTGAAGCGCCTCGTGGTTTTTATCTTGAGAGGCGCTATAGAAAAGACCTTTTCTTCTTCTTCTGTCTATGGGTCATGGCCAGACTATATATCTACACATATAGGATGCCAGGCTGACCTTCCACAAACTTCTCAGTTTGATACATAAAAAGTTCCCTCCTTGGGATTTATGATAAGTTCTGAATTGTCTCAACTAACAAATTGATCGTCACATTACAGTAATGTATTCAAACACATACGTTTGACGAGACTTGTTTATCTATTGTTTGTTTGTGTGATTAAACTGGAATAAAATGACCCAACTGACCGTCTCAAATGCTTTATTCCACTGAGCGTGTAAAAACTTTGAGTCTCACCTGGAAACGCTGCCCAAGTTTCTGGCTTGTTGCTCATTAACAATTTGTGCCTTCACCATGGTAGGCTTCCCTGGTGCTAATTTATCTCCCAGCAGACACCTCACAATTGTGCGGAACTTTGACTGAGTTTTGATGACCTGAGGGGGCTGCTTCTCCACAACGAAAGAGCTGAAAGGAACAAAAGTTGCGTTATTTATGTATGTGTGTGTGTGTGTGTGTGTGTGTGTGTGTGTGTGTGTGTGTGTGTGTGTGTGTGTGTGAGAGAGAGAGAGAGAGAGAGAGAGAGAGACAGTGGTGTTGCATTACCTTTTAACCAGAACCTGCAGAAGATTCCCCAGCCTTTCCTGAAGTTTTGGGAGCCGTTCCTCCATCAGCATTACCTCCTGGCTCAGGTCCCAATTCAACCCAAGGAGGTGCTCGCACCTTAAAAAACGACGTACGCACGTGAGTGGGCTGGCCTTCATCCCAATAGACAGCAGGTGAGAGATGGGTATGATGGGGGGTTACATATCGATCTTGACGCTAACAGAGATACAATCATGTAGACTCTAATAATTATTAATACATAATAAATAGTATGTGGGTGGAAATCAACACACTCCAGTCAATAGTCAATAGGTAGATTTTCACCAGTCTACTGCTGCAATTCTTAGAAGCTCAGAGATCAAAGGTAATACCATCAAAATCCTCTGGGTGTCACACTGGAGCTGAAGTCTTCAACTCAATGCTAACTGAACTAAAACCAAACCTGAAGCCCAGCTACTCATCACGGTTTTTAATATAAAAGGTAAAATAACAATATTAGATCATTTCTCCTTTTTGTGAAACTTTTTAACAAAAGAAAATATGATACTTTGTTTTCTTCTACAGATGAAAGCACTTGCTTGCAAACATGGCCACCCAGCAGCCCAAAATAAAATGAGCAGGAAAAACGGCACGCTTAACTGCAAAATTAGTCCAAGGGCAATGAGGGGATGGCATTAAAAATGCTTCTAACTCATCAGGAAGAGCCAGCTTGGGATTTTTCCCTCTGGAAATTTTTTGGAAAATACAGAAAACTGGTTGAAATGTTACCTTGGCCAAGAAAGACACAGATCTCCAAAATAATGTGTTTAAATTAACAGAGTTAAATGTTATTTCTGAAAGGGAATGTGATGACAGTGTGGCTAGGAAAAGTCAACTGCAGTCATCCAGACAAATTAAACTAACTTTCAGTTTAGCGCTGGAAGTATTTAGGTCACGTCTAACTGCTGTGTGGGTCTTCATTTGTTCACAACATGAGAAGGGTTCTCATTACCAGGTCTGCAGAGGGTTGAGGTTGTCATCAAAGGGATGACCTATGGCTGCTTTGTGCTGATCCCACAACCACGTCTTCACCCTGTTGATAAACTGGGCTTGAGAGCGTTCCAGACCGTCCACGCAGTCGCTCAGCAGCCGGAAAGCATTCTGTAACAATCAGAATCTAATCAGGTTACACCGATCCTTGTTTTTAATGCTTGAAAACACACTAACATCACACTACGCAGCATTTAAAACGATTATTACAATGTTTAAATTGAGTGAAGTACAGTAAAGTATTCATTGTGAGTAGAGAATAAAAAACATGCATAACTTGTGTTTAATGAACAGTGGAATTACAAGTTATTGTTTCACCTGTGCTCCTTCAAGTATACAACTTTCCATTTTCTGGATGTTGCTGATCAGTTTCTTAACCTCCTGTGAATGTTCCACTCCATTCGGTTGAAACCCTGTGGAAACATCAAATTATACGCAGCAAGTTGAGTCCTGCCTGCAGCGCCGCACACCGCTGCTGTTCTTTTAGGAAAATTAGGCTCTCCACGCTGCAAGTCTAAAACATGTCTTCACCTTGTAGACTTTCATAGTTTTGCTTCTCCCAGTTGAGCTCTTCTTGCATGTGATGCATATTTTTTCTGATGACCTGGAGCTCTTTCACCTTCTCCTTCAACCTTCCGACATCCTCACTGTTAGGGTCGCTCTGAGGGAGCATTTGGTGTTGGGGGTTGTTGCTCTTCAGAAGCTAAACAGAAATAAATACAACTGCTAAGCATTTTAAATAGTATTTATTCTAATAACATCACGCCTTATAAAATAGGTCAACCAGGTCTGTATTATGACTGGAGGGCATTATAATCTCGTGACAGTGTTCATCTATGTAACGGAATGAAATGACTGTTTTCCACCTAAAAGTCAAACCCCCCCCCCCCCCCCCCCCCCCCCCCCCCCCCCCAGCAAGAAATAATCTGCATGAGATATTGCTCGAGGTCATGCATCTGCTTCTAAACAGTTTTCCTTTCCAGCGCAAGAGAAGAATGAAGACGAAGGACTCTATCTTTTTAATAAATCAAAGAACTCTATTTTTAATAAGCTAATCAAACAAAGTGTTAGTCAATAATAAAATGTGAGCCGATTTGTGAAATGAAAATATTAATTACTTTATTATAATCCTATAGAATATAATAAGTAATATGACTTTAAATGTTTCCACTAGAGACTGATCACACGTAGCGTTAAGACATGATACATTGCTTTTACTGATCCAATCAGAATCTGCCACATCTGACGGAGGCGTGGCTTTGGTGGTGCTTGGTAAATCTGTCATCTTTCCATTCGACCATAAACCAAAACATCCGAAATATAAAATTTTGCCCACGTCATCTTTAACGCCAGTTCAAAGCGTTCTAGAGAAGTTGTCGGAGTGGCCAATCCGTAACTTTCCTCTTCAGCCAAAAGAACCAATGACAAGCTGGATAAAATCTGTTGCCGTTCCACCTGCTGCAACGGTTCCTTTCAGAGTAAAAGCTGAACCATCACAAACCCGTTTTGGGTCTAGCTAGATGCCGATAAACTGTCGTGACCCAGAAGTATCTCAAAGACTGGTCTGGTCGGCAACCGCTGCTTTTCCTACCGGCTTCGGTTCCAGAGAGGGTCCAGCTGGACCTCGACATTCCTAATCTAACGGGGACTTCCAAAAGGGAAAGTAGGCCGACAGAATGGCATCTTATGTGTTTATGAATCTCCGAATCAAAGCTTAGCGCAAAGACATCATCTTCACTCCCATCAGAACTAATCGTTTCCCCGGATTTGCTGGTTCTGAAATATTCACACATACACCATTCTCAGTCTTACCTCACCTTAGTTACACCATACACCTAGTGTTGAAGTTAGTCTAGATTTAATTTGTTTAGTAATAAATCTTTAAACTTTTAAGACTTGACTCACTCTCTTTCCTTGAAGTTAATATGGAGTGTTACTCAATCCCTGCAATAAAAAGATCCAATCTTCTGATTAAATTTACTTAAAGATCCATTAAGGTGATTTAAATTTACTTAAAGATCCATTAAGGTGATATTTCCTATTTCGTGATATTTCACATTTTATGGTTTCTAATTAAATGTAGGAATTTCTTCGCCATATCTACGAAGATATAACTGTGAAGCTGCAGCAAATTTTGTACACTTATTTCCAGTTTTTTACATGGTTTGATTTATTGCTGAAGCAAATTAGAAAATGTTTAATCTTCAAATACCTTTATGGCATATTAAAAAATATAAAACATGTTTCTGGAACGTGATCTGTTAAATGAGCACCACTTATTTGACAAAACCAGTGTTACCTTGCCTCAGCATAAACATTTTTCTTGCAACAGGTTATTTTCTTGTAGCTGCATCATACATTTACAGTCCTAAAGAAAGTGTGTGAATGTGTGTGAATGGGTGAATGACTGATTGTGTTGTAAAGCGCCTTGGGGGGGCTCCAGGACTCTAGAAAGCGCTATATCAAATACAGGCCATTTATCATTTAACATGATTAAAAATTACACAGGTTATCTATAGACTAACTGAGTGTTTTAAATAAAATACCTCCTCCATCAGAACTTTCTCCTGCATGAGAATTTCCTTGACTGTCACAGCAAACTGTAGAGGCTGGTAATTCGCCTGTAAAAAAGGAGTCATTAGAGCTTCAAACCTTCTCACTGCTACCTGATAGACAATCAAACCGGCTTATTTATTCACGATCATGCTGTTCCAAATAGATACAAACTGTTATAGAACAGAATAAAATATTAGATATACTCTTTGACAGCCTTAAAAACAAAATGCTCTTGAGAAACGGACAATTTCCATTACGTCACGACACCTTTTCTTCTCGTTTTGTCAATCAAAGCTGTTTGCCGAACACACAATGACAAATGGAACAGCTTGAAGCAAGTTTTCATGGTTCTGACTGAACAGACAAGCTGATGGATAGTCACAATGAGGCTTGTTTCAAAGTGGATTAATATAGTTTTCAAACAACTCCAATTTCAAAACTGTCATAGCTGTTTAGACAAACGCTATAATGAACCTTTACAGCATTGTAATTCCTGCATCCGAGGGTCACTTGGCAGCAGTTAGCAGCTAGCGCTAACCATTTCTGGTTCTACTTGTTGCCTGGAATTCAGTTCATACATTTTTTTCCAGAAAAAGGTGTAATGGAAATCTGAGAGATTTGAAAAATAGAGGTGGCAGCAATAGAACCATTTGAAACTTTGAAACTGACCCCACTATGATTAGCTGATTGGTCTGTTCAGACTTAGCCTGATTGGCCACCTACCATATCACTGCGTATCTGCTTCAGCTTAATCTTGTCCATTTCACTGTTTATGTGACTGGCAGCTTCTTCCAAACCTTTGATGGCTTGGTTCAAAAGAACCCGAGCCTGGCCCTCTAGCTCCCTTTTTTCTGGTGCAAACTCTTCCCTGTGAGCACAAATGCACACAAATTCATACTTCCTGTATAAGTAAATGCACACATAGCAACAGGGCTGCAAGTCAATTTGAATGTTTATTTGTTGTGTGCATGCATGCCTGCGTTTGTCATACCATCTCTGGATCTGAATCCAATCACGAAGATAATATCTGGCTTCGATGGGGAAATTGTACATGGAATAGAGATCCTGTCTCTGATCAGAAGCCAGGAGTCGAAGAAGATGTTCTATTTGTACCCAACGGGCCATAATCAGACAGGCAGGTCTACAACACAAAGTCCACCAACATTAAATCTTTATGATTTTTTGCTCTTTCAAATTACTGTCAAACTAAACAACAGATCTGCTTGATCAAATCAGTGCGTACGAACAAAAAACAGAGCAAGTATCAGGTGGGTTGTGAAGCAGCGTTTGCGGGAATAAGGAAGACAACAAGGATGCAAGTTGTGGATCTGTCTGGCATTAATTTATAGTCTAGATATTTCCAATACATCCTGGAAAGCGAGTCCATTGTTCTTCTCCTCTCGTTCAGCAAGGACATAGGAAACCTTCTACTTCCAATCATAGTAGTATGATAATCCTATATTTCACTATGGAGGATGTGAGTTACTGTCCACTAGTGATTTGCTAGATTCTTGTTGTGTGCAAAAATTATGTTATTTATTTAGCATTAAAAGATTTGTCACAAAAAGCACTGTTAAGGATCCAAACATTTTATTTTATTTTACATTTTTATTAAATCGGCTCCAGTGTAAAATGAAATGCTATTTATGACAATGTTATAAATTCAGCAGGGTGAAATCTGGCAAAGTTAGCAACTTGTTTAAAATTGAGGAACAGCAGCAGAGAGAATGTAAGCTAACGTTTGTAAGCTAGTTAACAATTATGAGCCCCACCGGGGTGTGCTAAGTTTCCCATTTCATTCCAGCTGGATGTGTGTTGGTGTAGTTTTGAAGTACTGGCGAAATAAAACAAAAACTACTAGAATGGCATTGTCACTGCAAATGATAAAATTTTGCTTCTTTAAAGCCGAGTCAAGAACAGGGGATTTTGCAGTGTGTTTCAACCAAATTAGTCATAAGTAAAAGCGGTTCTTCTCAGCTTCTTTGAAATTTGACTCCTGAACTTATGGAGCTAGGATTGGGACAATATCCAATGTAACTTGTACCGAATTTTGTAACTTGGAACATGTTTCAGGACATGTAACTTTGGATTCGTAACTTGTAACTTTAGTTTTCTAACTTGTAATTCTCAATTTGTACTTGTATTTCTTGTTTTGTAACAGGAAAATTTCATTTTGCATGTGTATTTTTATTTTGTAAATCAAACTTTTATTTTGTACATTTACTACTCATTTTGTAACATCAAACATTCATTCAGAAACATGAAACTTTCGGTTTTTACCTAGCAGACTTCCAAACAAAACAACTCAATGTACATGTTTGAAATCAAAACTCTCAAAACACACATTTCATTCTACAGGTACAAACCTCAAATCAACAAGACAACATCAGAATGACTTGATATAGATACAGTATCACTGCGGGGTTGTATACTGTTGATCTAAATTGGAATTACCCTGTGGAAACAGCAATTTTTTTGTGTATCCATAAACCCCCATAGAGGACCCTCAAGCGGACAGGGTGATGGATGACGCCGAGATGAAGAAGCCAGAAAAATATGTAGTTTCTGAGTTTTTCTAATCCAACCATGTAGTCCTACATTCTAAAAGGGATCTTTGTTGTTTTGACAATCCTCACACTACTTATTTTTGTTTTCCAGCCAAGAACGGTCCAAAAGTCAGCCTTAAAAAACAGTTTGAGGATGAGGACAGACAACTTAAGGAGGATGCAGCTTCTCATACAGCAGGTAGAGTCCCTTCCATCACAGAGCAGGTACAAATGGAACTTGACATATACAAAAGACTCACAAGAATTCCCTCTTACAATTTTAGCTAACTGCCTCTCCTGCCACGCACGGTCCACGGACGGACCCTCGCTAGCTGTTTACATTAACAATACAGTATCTCATAACTTTAACCAATTAATTTTACTTTTGAATCGTCGTGTCCAGATGCAGTGAGACCATATCTGCAGCCACACAGGCACCTGTTGACACCACGGGGGCGGGACTGTCTTCTACACCTGTTGAGCCTCACTGTGATGATGAAGAATGTAAGATTTTTTTTACCGTTTTTTTTGGATTATGATTGCAGCCTTTTTATGAACTTCGATTCAAGTTTTAAGTATGCATACAATATGAATTTAATATTTTCATATCAGAAGCAGAGCCGGATTAAATAAATGGACTACACTAGGCAGGCTGCATTTTTAGGGCCCCCCCTCCATCGATGTTATGTAATGAATTGAAATCTGAAACTTACCAAATTTACTTATAAAAGTTCATTCACATTTTACATAGCCTAGTTTTTGGTTACAAATTGGTTGTTTGTATGCCAAAATAAGTCATGTGTTGTAGGCTGTTGCCTCTGCTGAATCAGAAATTCTGTCAATTTTCTGAGTGTGAACTTATTGTTTTGCTACTTGAACATTAATAAAATTATTTGACAAATAATTAATAAAACCAGCAACACTTACCAAGGAAACCATTTAGCATTCTCTACTCCGGGATAATCTTCAGCCTTCCAGCATCACATGCCTCAATCACAGCAGAAACACGTCTAAAGAAATGTTCCTTGGTTAAGCTTCATTCTATGTCTCCAGATTTCCTCTGTGATGCAGAAGAATATCCAATATTTTGAGAGGGATAGTTTAGTGCAAAGTACTCATCAGTTTGGTACCACTTTGCAGGATCAGATGGGTAGTTGTTAATACCCTGTCTGGGTCTAGGGGCTCCTGTAAGACTATATTGGGCTCACTTCTGGCTGGCTGCTGTTCTTCCAGTTTGTCCTTCTGTGAAGGCGCTGATGTTGACGGCGTTGGCACTACAGCATCTTCCGCCACATCTTCCACCGCGTCTTCGGGTTGTGTCTCCTCCGGGTCTGACTTGGGCCCGGCCTCTGGCTCTGCTGACTCGAGCATGTTCACAGCTGTCGGACGGCTGCCCGAGCAGCCCGACAGAAACTTCTGTAAAGCCCCCCGCTGTCTCTTCTTTAGTTCCTCTTCATTTAAATATTTTTCTTTTTTACGTTTTGCCGCACCCGAAAGCATCGTGAAAGTTAGCCTACTCAAAAACACCTGCTAGCTTTGTTGTGTCCCGCTCTGACTCTGACCGCTTCTCTGACGTCCTTCATTGGGTGGCGCCTTAACCCTCTGGGGTCCAGGGTGTAATTTGCAGTGAGTTTTCCTTTGTATTTCCAAAATAAAAACCATAATCACTGCCTTATGTGGTATCAATCTTTTCAGCACAACCTGGACTTTATGAATCTATACTTATTTTGTATATTTGGACATAAAGGGGTTGCGTATTAGACCTTAAATCACTCAAAAACATAAAATCTGAATAGGAAAAAAGTTGTTTATTTTGCTGTGAAACCAACAAACATTTATGACAAATGTTTTTTATCATTTAGACTGGTAATCTAGACTGTACATTTATAAAAAATATGACTAAATATAGCAAATAACTAATTAAAAAAGTTATTAGCTCTCTGGGATCCAGAGTGTAAATCACCGTTTTTGACTCATTTTGGTTTTTCTTTTGTATTTTCTAATAAAAACAATAAATATTGCCTTATGGGGTATCATTAATTTCAAGTCAACCTGGACTATCTGAATTTATACTTATTTTATTAATTTGGCAATAATATACATGGATTTTGGAGTGGGGAGTGGCTCCGTCTCACGCCTAGATCTGACAGCTGCGCGGCGCCGCCCACTCCTCTTGATGGATCTCCGAGGAGCTGGATCTCTGCCTTCATCCTCTACCTCATCATGACCCAACTCTTCTATGAGGAAGGATGGATCTGCCACATCATCATCATCATCCTCGCTATTTGCCTCAGACTCCGGCTGCGAGTCTCAGTCCACTTCCTCTGCTTCCAGTTCAAAAAACAGCCGTACTATCTGAACTGCCTGGTGGACATTTATCCTTCTCATCATCCTTTATTAAAGCCTAATAAAAGCCTACTAAACTGCAGAGACAATATATCTGTCCGGATCGCTCCAAAATACAAAGTTTACCGTCAATATCTGTCTAATTGTTTGTTGTTACTCCGTTCGCGCCACTCCTTTCCCCGCGAAGCGGCTCCTTTTTGCGCATATCTCGTTACTCGTGTGATACTTTTTATCAGCTGAATATGTGAGACTTCCACCAACAGCAAAAGGATCTCGTGTTTTTGTGGGTTTTTAATGTTCACAAGCACATTCCCGCTCACAGATTACTAAACCGCTGTTTTGACAAGTTATCAGATTGTCTAAAAATAGGTCATTTTTTAGTTAGTATAACTCCGCTTTTACGTTGCCTATTAACAAAATTTAAAAACTGGGGTGTAGTTTATAATCTGCTTTTTAAAGCTGAATTGAAACCGAAACTCAGGGAGGCGGAGTCTTGCTGCTACAGCGTCCCAAATCAGACCTGTTCAAAAGACGCGTATACTCGTCCGTGGACCCCAGAGGTTTAATGTGACGTAGCCAATGAAACGGTCTATGGTTAAGATAAACATTGTCACTATTTTTAGTTAATTAATAAATATTGAAACAAATTGTAGATAGGAGTCCTAGCTACAAATTCTATCATAGGACATGTGTACATTTAATTTTTAATTTATTTATTTATAATTTTGTTCCTCTGTCTGGGCCCCATCCAGCCAATCAGGCCCTAGGCACGTGCCTACTTTGCCTTTGCGTTAATCCGGCTCTGATCAGAAGAACGCTAGGTGTGGGTGTAGCAAAATATCAACTTTGTCCTTCACATCGGGCAGCTGCCGCTGGGCCGGCGGGGAGTGAGAACTGCCTATCGCACTGCCAAAAACGCAGCATGACATCTTATGCCGTCTTTCTTGTTTACGCTGCAGCGTCTTCTATCCAGGCATCACGCAGCACTGAGCTACAATCTCAGCATCTAGAGCCAGGTGAGTAAGTTACTTGTTAGGCTATTTGTAATCAGCAGTAGAAACGGACTTTTTCAAATTAAACGGCTTATCACATATATCGATATGCAAAATTAATTTATTTAAATCCACACCAGACACTTGTTTTTGGCACAGTCTGTGCAGCATTGGTTTAGCATTGAGAATATTAAATAATCTGAACATACACATCTGAAATTGTCTCCTTAAGATGTTATTGTCAATTAGGCTGTAAATTTGTAAAAAAAAAAAAAAAAAAAAAAAAGATGGACATTAGTTTTTGTGACATAGTGAGTCATCTTCAAGGCATAAAGGTTTATGGCCTGAAGAACGTCGTACCGAAACGCGTCGGCGTTTCCTTGTTCAATAAATGAAATCCTCAGAGTGCCTCAGATCACCGGATCTTCTTCCTCATATTCTAAATTTATTTGATGCTGAAGAGCACCTGAGAGTGAGACATACGTTTTGTCAAATATTCCCTATGGATGCACTCACTTCCACCAGTTTTTGATAATTTTATTCATGTTTTCGTAGAACAGATTAAAAAAAGATCAATAAATTAAAAAGTCCAGTAACATTAAAAATAATGAAAAGCATCACTGCACATGACTGAGGAATATTGAATGTGAATGTGGCACTGCTCTTAATTCATGCATCAGAGGGTTAAGTTGCTGTGTGTGTGTGTGTGTGTGTGTGTGTGTGTGTGTGTGTGTGTGTGTGTGTGTGTGTGTGTGTGTGTGTGTGTGTGTGTGTGTGTTATTTTCTCACAGAAGAAGAACCCAACACCAGCAGACTCAGTGCTCCAATCCAACAGCCTGAACACCATCATCAGCTTCAACAGATGTCTGTGAACATGTATGAGCTGCTGGCCCCATGGATCCTGCTGACCGGCCACAGCAGTTGAACAAAATGGAAAGTAGAACTTTCTTTATGATGACACTGATATTTGAGTTTTGCTTTTGATTGCACAGTTTAATGCTGCTTTTGATTTTGCATCCCCCCCAATGACATTTGCACAACATTTTGAGTTGTTGGTTATTGTAATATTCTCTGGTTACTTATCTTTCAAGCTTACATTTATTCTTCAGGCTGTTGACTTTAAAGAGTTGCTGTGTGAATATTTAAAATAAAAAATTAGTAACTAAGGAATAACAGTGGAGTTGCTCTTTCCAATGTGTGGTGGGTGGGTGGGAGGCATGCAGGCTAGGGCTGTCGCGGTAACCGCAAAAATGAAATATCGCAATATGAAGAAACCCACCGCGATTACTGAACTTGGTTCAACTCAATGATTCATGTTGAGAAGGATGGCTGCACTGGTATCAAAACGAAACGTTACTTTGCTCCTTTGGGAGCACTTTGGTTTTCAGTACATCAGCTGCTGCGCAGCCAGAGTCCTTGGCCGAGACAGAGCTGCCACCAGCTGCAAAAATAAATAAATAAATAAATGCTCGGAGACCTGCTGAAGTCCCGGACAAGCACTGCTTCTGCAACCGTCCCGAAGAGAGTTTGAGCCGAGCTGGAGCTCACTCGCTACCTGCAGGACGAATGCATCCACCCTAAAGAAACCCCCCTGACATGGTGGAGCAACAACCGGGAGAGATTCCCTTTGCTCGCCAGAGTCGCACGCAAGTACGTGTGCGTTAGTGCAACGAGCGCACCATCCGAGAGGGTTTTCAGTGTTGCTGCAAATGTTGCCACCCCTCTCAGATCCTCTCTCAAACCGTATATGGTTAACATGCTGGTTTTCCTTGTAGGTAACAAGGACGTGACCGAGCTATAAATCACCGTCATTCGTGTGTGTGAAAGTGAAATGATAGTGCGCCCGCCCCCCGGCACGCGCGCGCCCGGTACATGTAATTTTTTATGCTTGATTTTAAACAACTAAACAAAATGGGGACTTGTTTCTTATTTGTTAGATGCTGCAGCCAAATTTGCATTTAAAAGTTTAACCTCCTGAATTTTGTTGTTTTTAAGTTCAGTCGGACTCCGACTGTCGGAGAAACAAACGTTACTGCGATCTGTGTTCTTACTGCCGTTTGATCTGCATTCAGTAAAGTGTTATTAAAGAAGGCACTGCAATTTTTAACCTTTTTTAAATGTGTAAACATTATGTTTAGATAGTACTGCAATAAAAAAAAAGTGCTGCAATAATATCGCACACCGCAATATTAAGCCACCCTGAATCACCGCAGGGGGAATTCCTCAACGCGACAGCCCTAATGCAGGCACGGGGGCGGGGGGCACATGGGCAGTCTCGCCTTGGGCACCACATTACCTAGAGCCGGCCCTGCTAGTGCCAGGTTGTGGTGAGCAAAGCAAGCTGATGATGGCTGCCAGTCAGGTTTCTCAACATTTCTTCACTGACAAGGAAGCTTTGTTTACAACAAATAATGAGATGGAATCATTAAAATTAAAATTTGACCCCTATTGCTTGCTACTTGTGCTTTATTGCAACAGAGATTAATTAAAAAGACAAGGCAGAAGTAGAAGAGAGAAAGCCAACAGTTCGTGTAAAATCCCAATGTACTTTATTAGTTAAGCGTTATTAGGGATTGTTTAGGAGGACAAAGTTGAAGAAATGAAACTTTTCAGGAAATAAAGAAGTGTTAGAAGCGAATTAAGCAACAGCTTTTAAAACAAAACAACGAGGCCTTACCAGCACTGCTGCGGCCAAACTCGCAGTAAACAATTCATCCTACCTTCAAAAAAATGGATGTTTCATAACACAGAACAACACTCTGGTCCGACCAGCCTTCCTTCCTCCTCCTCCTCCCGTTTTTCACACGTCCATCCTTCTGAACTTTTAGTACGTCACTTTAAACGCGGATCTCGTTTCCCAAAAACAGACGAATCTTCGTGGCTTTTACGCAGGAGAGGAAAAGACTAGACTTCGAGTAGTTTTTTTTTTAATGGAGTCGAATAGAAAGCAGAAGGTAGGCTAGGCTCCGCAACTTCCCTGTTGCGCACAAAGTCCCGTCAAACGCAGGCGCGCGCTACTTCCTGTCAGTCACGTTCAAGTTCCAGCTTGCCCATGAACCAGGCGTGCGCCTGTGTGCTGCGCTGCTTTTACAGACACCTCAGCGTCCACGCCACTCACGTCAGGGGCGTTTTACCGCTGGTGATAAGCGGCTGGTCCTGATCCTCAGACGCCGTCACACATAAACCCTTTTTACAAACGACAGCGGCAAAGTGAGGGTTTTTTAGAAATCCGCCCTGGCTGAAAGTGAAAGTCATCCTCAGTTTAGGGCGGGTACACTCACAGAAGGAGTCGTAGGCGGAGTGATGTGGCGTTTTCATAAATGCTGTAACTTCCAGGAAGACACATGATACCATATCTGCTAGGGACACTGCATCAAGCCATACACACACACACACACACACACACACACACACACACACACACACACACACTGGCAAGATTTAGCTCACTTTGAGCGTTTGGGTTTTATCTTCAGGTCTCATCTGCTCCCACTCACTACTGGAAAGACACACCCTGAATTTTACGCCCCATTGTTCTCTCTCTGTGGTCATCTCTCACTTTACTCTGTGAAAACCTTCAAGACCCCTTTAAAATCAGTATTACTGACTATTCAGTCAAGTTTACTTATGCATAAACAGTTCTCAAGCAAAAGTCAGACAGAATGGATGTAATTTGAATTGCTTTTATTGTTGATTTATTCAATATATTTACCTACAACTGTACCATGTTCAGCGCTTTGGGCTTCCTGACAGGGTTGCAGAAGGCGCTTTATAAATAAAGCTTTGGTTGATTGATTGAACAGTGGGGAATAATAGAAAGAACCAGGCACAGGGCTGCCATAGTCTCGACTGACTGCTGAGAGGAGAGGAAAATGGACAAACACATAAGGGTTAGAAAGATGTTATTTCCTATACAGAGAACACAAATGGCATTCAATAAATCTAAATAAATGGAGAGCCAGGAAATTTAGTCATGTGACATTAAGCAGTCTAATATTATCATAACTAAAGGGATGAGCCATGGTAATTGTACAAGACTTATTGAAAAAGTAGGTTTTACTCTTAAAAGTTGACGGGACATCTACCTCTAGGAAGGAAGCCGACAGCTGCTTCCAAGTGGAGTAAGTTCTTCCTCAAGTTTTTTAAAAAACTTTAGGAACCAAACCTGCAGTCTGAGCCACGTGCTCAGCTAAACATCTGAGAGAGAGAGAGAGAGAGAGAGAGAGAGAGAGAGAGAGAGAGAGAGAGAGAGAGAGAAGGCAAGGCAGCTTTATTTATAGCACATGTCATACACAGCGGCAATTCAATGTACTTAGCATTAGCAAAAGCATTAAAATCAACGTGACAGAAAATACAATTTAAAATTTAAAAAGAAGCTAAGTTAAAGTTAAAGGGTGAGCTGGTGAGCAGTTGCAGTGCAGAAGGCGCAGCATAAGAACATTTACGCAAAGGCTGATGAAAACATGAAGGTTTTCAATTTTGATTTAAAAGTTTCTAGAGTTGAGGCACATTTGAGGTCATAAGGAAGCTGATTCCATTTGTGTGCAGCATGGTAGCTAAAAGCAGCTTCACCCTGTTTGGTTCTGACCCGGGATTCTTGCTGATCGCTTCATCTCGGAGCCCTGCTGGGCATATATACCTGAAGGAGATCTGACATGTATTCTGGCCCCATGCCATAGAGTGATTTATAAACTACTAGAAGTACTTTGAAGTTTCTGTAGTTTACTGATAACAAGTGTAGAGATTTAAGAACATGAGTGATGTGCTTGGTTCTCTTGGTTCTGGTTAAGATTCTAGCAGCAGCATTCTGAATAAACTGCAGTTGCTTCACAGCTTTTTTGGAAAGACCAATCAAAAGACCACTGCAATAGTCCAGCCTGCTGTAGATGAACGCATGAATGAGTTTCTAGGTCTTGTCTGGTCATGAGACCTCTGAGTCGTGCTATTTGATGAAGAGGATACAACACTGATCTAGTTATAACCTTAATGTGACCAGTGAAGCTCAAGTCTGAATCAATTATGACACCAAGATTTCTAACCTGGGTCTTTGTTTTTATTCCTCTGGCGCCAAGTTGAGCAATAACCTCCATCCTATCCTTCTTATTTCCAAAGACAATAACTTCAGTCTTGTCTTTGTTTAACTGGAGGAAGTTTGACTGCATCCAATCCTTAACTTGCTCGAAACACTGATAGAGTGTCTAGAGGACCACAGTCACAAGGTGACAGAGCCAGGTAGAGCTGGGTGTCATCTACAAAACTATGACAGGCAATATTGTTATTGTTTATGACCTGACCAGGGGGAGCATGTAGAGATTGAAGAGCCATGGTCCAAGAATTGAGCCTTGAGGGACCCCACGTCATGGTGATCAGCTCTGATTTGTGATCACCAATAGAAATAATATAACCCCTGGCTTCGAGGTAAGATTGGAACCAACTATGGACTGTGCCTGAAAGTCCCACCCAGTTTATGAGTCTATCAAGAAGGATGTTGAGGTCCACATTATCAAAAGCTGCACTGGGATCGAGCCTCATCAGCACAGATATTTTGTCTGAATCTGTATTTAGATGAATATCATTTAATAATTTAATAAGTGCAGTCTCAGTGCTGTGGTGTTGTCTAAAGCCTGACTGGAAACTATCTAGAAGGCTGTTTGTCTCTAAAAAGTTGTTCAGCTGGATCATAACAGCTTTTTCAATTATTTTCCAATGAAAGGGAGATTAGAAACTGGTCTGTAGTTATTCATCACTAAGGGATCTAATTTCCTTTTCTTTAGAAGAGGTTTAACAGCAGCAGTTTTCAATGATAACCTGACATGAAGGAGCAATTAACAATTTTCAGTACATCAACTTTTAAGCAGCTAAAAACATTGTTGCTGAAGTTTTTTGGCAGGGTGTCCAGACAGCAGGTAGATGAGAGAGAGAGAGAGAGAGAGAGAGAGAGAGAGAGAGGGGGGGGGGGGGGGAAGTGGAGGGAAGTAATGCAAAAATTGGAGAAAAGTGATCTTTCTTTAGCATCAGCTGTTTTTTATTGATTTAGTTTTTGACTTCCTGAAAAAGGGTTGTAATAATCAAGCCTGGAACTGTTAATGTAAAAAAATTAATTTGGAATTTCTTTCAGATTCAATTAAATAGTTTAGCTGATAAATAAGAAATGTACAAGTGTTTTAAAAGTTTGTGTTTTGGGGTCATGGGAAAACATTTTAACTAATCAATATTGATTAAATTGATCAGATATTTATATCACACTTTCCAGTTGGTCATGTTTGTTGCTGTAACGACACAGAATTTAAATGTTTTTATTTCTTTCATTCATTCATTCCATCTTTAGATTATTTTTTGGTATATTTTACTGGCAGCCCAATTTACAATACCAACAAACATTTTATAAAGTTCACAACAATTGACCAAAAGCCTATTATTATTATTGTCATTATTATTATTATTATTATTATTATTATTATTATTATTATTATTATTATTATTATTATTACCACTACTATTATTGTTACTATTGTCATTATTATTATTATTATTATTATTATTAGTAGTAGTAGTAGTAGTAGTAGTAGTAGTAGTAGTAGTAGTAGTAGTAGTAGTAGTAGTAGTATTACGTAAATATAAAAAGGTTAAACGAAGTCATGTTAATTCTTGTGTTACTCAATTTAGCCACTAGGAGGCATTAATGTCTTAGCTATGATTATTGTGTTGTCTGAACGTTATGGGTTAAGATTTATTGCTTAAAAATTGTAAAATTACATTACTATTCGTTCATAACATTGATGGTTTTCATTTTAAAAGTCATTATTGGCTTTTTAAAAATTAAGTCAAACTGAAAGTTAGAAATCAATAAATAAGTTTTTGTCTGGACCAGTTGCCTTCATTCGAACCCCTTTGGATTAGCTGAATATGGCTAAGTCACTTTTGTCTTTCTTGTTCTATATTTTTTTTCTTTGATTAGAAACCAAAGTGATGAAATGACCTACATGAAACCAGCCCGCTTAAGAGTCAGTTTGAAATTAGGAGCCATCTTGGCAGCAACACACAACCAAACAGGTCAGTTTAACTTTGTTAAAAGGAATTTCACAATTAAGCCTTTGGTCAGCTATCATTAACATCTGTTTCAGCTGCAGGTCTGTTCTAATTGCTCTTAGACATCCATCTGTTTATTCTCCTGTGTATCTATTTACTATTTATTTATTTTGTGATCAAATTGTAGTCATGAGACTGGGGGCAGGCCTGGGCATTCAGCTAGGACATTCCACCTGTCAGATCCAATTTCCTGAGACTTTTGATGGACCAATGCACAAACAAAGGTTTAATAAGCTACTTTTAAACAACCAGCCTCTTCATTTGTGTTTAAAATTGGAATTACTGTTTTTTGAGGGGTTTTTTTTTCAGGCAATGAGCTTCAAACTGCTGTGGAGTAATAATTTGGGCTCTGTAAAGGTTCTGCTTGACTGAAACGTTTTCACCAAACTGGTTCGACCGTGCACATCAACATTGTGATGACACCATTTACTTTCCTGGAAACTAAAAGACAGAATTTTGACAGTTTTGAACTGTGAAAACAAACAGGAGTAGTTTTTTTCTCTGTCTCAGCACTCAAACACTCCTTTGTTTAATTCAAATATGTAAAACCTCTCCAACTGCTCTAAAATCTGCTCAGCAGGTTGAGTTAATAAAGAAATTCAATGTTTACCTGATTTGTATTTTTGCACAAGTGCCAGCTTGTGCGTGTCTGTCACCATTTCTTTTGGGGTTTTCTCAGGTAAAGAACCCTCTCTCTTGAAGGCTTCAACATCTGGAACCAATACACATGTGTGCTATCTGTGGGACCAAGGGGCTGGGAGGTTGCAGGCTGAATTAGGGGAGGGTGAGGGGCTGGACTGGTTGCTGCTTTGGCCCTGGGGGTCTGTGTGTCCCTGACTTCAAAATAGACTTGATTGCTAACAGCTGGCGGTCCTAACTCACCTAGTGTCAGAGCGCTCCTCTGATGTCAACCTTGTCAGTATCAAGGCTCGCACAATGGAAGGCCAAAGGTAGAAAGGACAACTGTGAAATGAGATTCAGGGAGAGACTTTTCTCTTCACGAAGTTGGAGCTGGGATCATGTCTGGATGATCCTGTGAGGATCAGATATTATAGTGGACCCTAATTGCTCCATGAGCACAAACTAATCACTTATAAATCAGTAACAAACAAATAATCCTCTATGATCATAATTTCACCATAAAATCTACATAATATTTTTATTATATATATATAAGGCATGTTTTTATTCTCAGTTCAGTGTTAAGCTGAGCCATGTACTGCTATTCAGAGCCACAGTCTGAGTAAATAGGACAGCAACTCATCAGCATCTTTTATTATCCAATTACAAACTGTGCTCACCTAATTACCTCCAATCAGCAGGGAGATGAAAAATGATTGACTTCCTAGATTCACTTTAGGACAGAAAGGACAAAATGGGTTTTCACATGTTTAATGCACCAAGTGTAAATAACGCACTTATGTTATGACCAAAAAGGTTTTTAGAGTGATTAAGTTTACAAAAACATATTACAGTCCAGAAATTAGGTGCAACTGTTGCTAGAAACATGTTTTTAGCTGTTACACGCATCAAGTTTTAGATTTTTATATCTATAATAATGATTCATTATTTTCTTCATGTGACACTTTTGCAAAAAAAGGTTTTTTCTAAACAGCTGCAGAAATAATTATCCTTCACTAAAGGATGAAGGGCATCCACAGCAAAAGGTGGTGCTTATAACAGAGCTATGCATCATTATTAGACAATTACACTTGTCGTTAACACAATCAGCACCAGTGTTGTGCAGAAATTCAGTCGTCTCTCAAACTTTCCACAGGGAGGAGCGACGGCGGATCCAGATACATCCTTTAACTAAACTTTCTCTACTTTTGCTCAGATTTACTTTCACAAATCTCTGTTAGTTTTGAGTCTTTGAAAGATGTCAGGAAAGACCAGAAATAGCAGGGGAGAGGGGGGCACTGGGAGGAGCTGTTGTTTACAGCCAGTGACAGGGATGAAGGACCTCTGTGCTCTGGTGCTGGGCCTACAGCCTCAGGGGTGAGCTGGTGCTGCTTCTGTTGCTGGTCTGAAAGCTGTAACACACACACACACACACACACACACAAACATGCAGGCAAAAATATTTGCGCACAGATGCACAAAAACAACAGTATTTTATGTCTTAACGTTTATCTTTTTCCATAGTTTTGCTTTTTTTGTGTAATCTTTCATCTCATGCAGACACACACTCCATAAAGGCAGAAATACTCTTTAATGGCAGCACACCTGAATTTCCAAATCATGACTGCTTTCACCTGCTGACTGTGTTAACGCCAACATTAAGATGAGGTAAAAACAGATTAGGTGGCTTCAAACCACAGCAAGCAACAACAAAAACAAAAACAGTCGTTATGCAATATTGACAAATTCTGTTTAATATTGTGTGATACTCTTCTCTTAAAATACAGTCTTTTCTGAGGTAGACTATTACAGTTCAAGAACATTAGCATTTTTAAAACAGACATCCAAAACGACATGAAATAAATACTTTCATGTACAATACGCTGCAAAAACGAGGTAGAAATGGTTACAGAAAATATACAATAACCAATAAGAACGCTACAGCGGTAGCATATCAAAATAAAAGCTTCTTTTGTTGGACAAACTGTCAGTAGAGAGGTTTCCAGGTATAGAAATAATTAAACAAACCAACAATCTGTGTTGATGCTTAATGCTTGCGGTGGTTTTGTGTGCTGGGTCTAGAGCCGGTGATCAGTATGCACGGGAAGGGTTTCTCTGATTGATCCGGCTGTGTGGCATGACTGAAGCCACCAGCTGGCGAGGGAAGGCTGCACTCTAATATAGGATTGCTGGACATCAATCAGCCCACTTCCACTCCGGAGAAATCGGTATAAGAGAAGTCTTAGGGGTAGAGGTGGGGTGGGGGACACAACGCCACATGGTTGCTGGGGCTTGTGGCCACAGGGCAATCCAGACTAATGAGATTGCATTTGGGGATGAGGGTGAGAGGAAGGGAGAGAGGGAGGGGGAAATGACATCACTCTGTGCAGGACCTCCTCAGATCCATGTCAACCACACCGTATGCTCATCAGTAACTCATCTTTTCCAGGTTCTTCAAATAGAACAGAGAGAATGATACAAAAGGAGAAATATTCCTGAATTGTCAACACGTTGGCTCATTAATTATTGATTTAAACTTTCTAATCAAAGCCAAATGTAACAAACTCATTTGGATCCGATGTTGTGCTCAGCTTCTTTTTTTGGTTTTGCATTTTCATTTTTAAATGATCTTCTGCACATACAAGCAGACATGTACATGCATGATATGTAAACACAAAAATATACATAACATAGGCAGTTTGTCCAACAAAAAAAGAATTATTTTCCGTTTTCTACGTTGCATCTCTTGAAGACAATCATCACTTCACCATAAACTACGACAAAAATAAAGGATAAAAGAACTGAAAAAAAAAAAACATTTATATATTCATATATAATAATACATGGACTTATGGCATCAAATATCCTCTGAAATACCTGAATTACATTCAATGTTACTCTTTGTAGCATTTTCAAGTTTCTCCTGCGAGGTACAAGCCCGGCTGCAGTGGGTTTCACAAGACTGTCAGGTTTTCTATGCTGCTTTAGTTCGCTCGCTTCTAAGACCCTAAGATTACATACATTCTTTATTTTTTTATTTCTGAGGTAAAAAAAAATCTTCCTGAGCATTTCAAACAATATAACACAATATGAAAAAAATTAAACTGGATAACTGAGATAAAACAAACAACGTGGGAAACGGTGGGAACGCATGTTTTATTTATAAGTAGGATTCTAGGGAAAACTGTAGTTTATGTGGAATGTGAATTTAAGTGGATCAGTTAAATCTTAAGCGATAACACCTGTCACTAATCCGTTAAATGAGGGTTAACGTGTCGTTCTGCAACCAAACATGATGAGCATAAAAAAACAAAAAAAATTTCAATTTGTTGCAGGTTTAAATGTAACGAGCAGCTGTTGTATCAGTTTGGTAAGAAGGTGAATCATAAACATCATCATGCTGTGATTTCTATAGAACCAGTCCATCTGGAGAAATTTAACAGTGCTTTCTGTATTTGGTTTGGTACGTTTTTGGTCAAAAAATGGCTGAAGTTGCTGATGCCAAGCCCTTTCCACTTAGTGATTAGTGACAATCCAGTGGCCACACCAACGTTAGGGCAACACGGAACTGGACTGGTAATAAATAGGATCCTGAGAGTAGCAGCCAAAGGGGGGATTTTCCAAACCCTGATTATCCATAATCTTGGACCAACTAGCAACAAATAACTGATTTTGTCCTGGACCAAGGCTAATCAGGAGAGTATTTAAATAGGTTTCTGATTTTCCCATTGGTCATATGACTAACACACTACTCCACCCGTCAAACCCATTCACCTTTCCTTTCTTTGGGAATAAAAAAAATGTGGGAGTTCTGAGAAAAACAAAACCGTACAACGTGGCATGCTTCTGCCAGTCGAAAAACCTCGTCAGCGCTCTTCTGTTGTTGCTCTTTTGGCTGCATAATATGTAATTAAAAATCAACAACAGCACATTCCCGTGGGTTTTTATGCCAAAGCTAAAACAGGGTCATAGCGCAGTCCGAGTACAACACTTGGCTGCCTTCTCAGTGGCTATACATCTTGCTCCACTCAATGCAATTATCCAGTTCCTTTGTGGTGGTGTGTGGACGCACCTTGCAGAAGGCATTCTCAAAATCTGTAAAGTCTGGGGGTTTGGGGGACGTGGCGAGGCCGTGCAAGGCTCCAGTTGGAGAGGATGCAGAGGAGAGTGCCTGCTGGCTGAGCTGCAGCAGCTCCCAGACTGAGAAGCCCTCTGCCCGCTGAAGCACAGCGTTCAGCTCCCTGTCGTTCAGGCTGCAACCTTGTGGTGTCAGTGCCTGCAGCAGCACCTGTTGGCGGATTCCCACATCTGGCAAGCCAACAAAGTACCTCTTGGCGAAGCTCTGGTGTAATGCATCTTGCAGAAGATCTGGCCTTCCAGTAGTACATATAATTATGACCAGACCTGTGGTCCCCAACTGGGCTTTCTCCAGAGTGTTCAGCAGTATCTGCCTTAGTCCGTCCTCCTCCATGGCCTCCACCTGACTAAGCAGCACAACCGAGGGTTGCCGCACCTCTGCCACCTGCAGCAGAGAACCCAGAATGTGTTCCGTCTCAAGCTTCCCTTTGGAGGCCAATATAGCTCCACTGACATGGTAGAAGGAAGCCCCAAGCTGTGAGGCCAACGACCGAGTCAGTGTCATCTTACCCCCTCCCCTGGGGCCAAACAGTAGGACGGTTCTTGGTGGCCTCACCACTGGACTGGGCCTCAAAACTGGCCAAATTAGGTCTTCCTCTAAGGCAGCCTTGACATGGGTGAGCCCAACTACTTCACTCCAGAGCAGAGCAGGACTGCGGTCTAGTAACTCTCCGTTGATAAGCTCCAGCAGACGGGGGTCTGGACTCTTCACAGTCTCAACTGTTGGTGTACGTACTGGAGGGCGTTTGAGTGCCTGAGAGTGGTGCTGCTGTTGGGTGAAGTCCTGCTCCGTCACCCCGTTTTCTCCTGTTATACCTGCAGGAGGGCTGTACTCCCCTCCTGCCCCAAACTGAGGGGAAACCAGGGGCTGAGAGGAGGGTTTACTAGGCTTGAATGTTTGAGGGTCTGTGCTACCTGAACTGTTGAATCCATTTCCACGACACTCTGTTTTTTCATTAACACTGTATGGAGAGGTTCCTCCAGACTTCAGTGGGTCATAGCTGTATTTCCTGTAACGAGACCTGTCCCCGCCGTCATCCTCCTCTATACTCATCTCAAATGCCTTTCTTTTTAAAGTCCCTATAGACTCCGCTGCCACAAGATTGGAGGTCTGGTAACTGTAGGGGCCTCCTACCGCTGTAGGTCTTGATGAAACGGGGGTTGGGGCAGGTAGGCCTGAGGGCAGGAAAGTTGTTGAGGAGTGGCTGTAGCTTGGAGCAAGACTAGTCTGGGGAGGATATGGACTGGGTGGGTAGTTATAGACCTGTGTGTTAGGGCTGTAGCTGGGCACCAGAGTGGCGGTAGACTGGAGAGAGTGGAGAGAGGCAGGGGGAAGTGCTGTACTGGGCTGCGGACAGAACCCTGAGGAAAGATAGGTGCCGTTGTAGCTAGAGGGGTACTCAGTGGAACCACTGCAGGAGCTGCTGCCGCTGTAGGCCGAGTCTGACAGATTGCTGTTCACTGCTGACACGCTGTTGACCCCAGGAGGGACAGCAGATGTGGCTACAGTCTTAGAGCTTGGAAGGCCTTCGTGGCTTCCAGGAGGAACCAAAGGATAGGAGGTATCAGTGTTGTGCGTGAGAGGCCATGGTTCCAGCTCTGTCTTCTGGCTGTTAAGGCCTCCGAAGCCCCCTGGCTCTGGATAGGCACCCACGGTAGGAGGCCTGTCATACGGTGAGTCCAACACGCCAGAGTACTTTTCAGCGTAGCGCTTCAGAAGGTTTGAGGCCGTGAGGGCCGAGATGTCATCATTGGCCCAGGCGTAGTTGTAAGAGCCACGTCCGCGTCCGGAAAATAACTCTGACTTGTGGGCAGGGGAGGAGGTGGTGGAGGAGACGTCCAGGTGCTGCTCAGGCCACTGGCTGAGGGGCTGGGCATGCTCTGGGTTCCAGTGCATCTTTAACAGGCCTGACAAACAAAACATGGAAAGGTTATGTTTCATTTGGGTCCAGAAATGGTAAACAGAACACTGCAACATTTCTATCTGTTACATGTAACTGTTTAAATTTATATATATGAACTTGAAACCTTAACCCTAAGACATAAAAATGCACATAACTTAAGGGAAAACCAATGTTGTAGCAACAGAAAACTTCACAATGAACCAATTTAAAACAGATCTTCAGGCAGCTGCCACTTGTCATTTTCAGAGACAGTAACTATTCTTTCCTGTCAGGAAAAAAAACTCAGTGTTACAACCATGTATTGTAAGAGAAGATGGCCAAATTTCCAAAGAGAGGGAGGAAGTTACTAGATAGAGGCGTAAAAGCTGCAGGACGAAGGAGCAAAAGCAGTGGGTAGCATGTGCGGTTTTGTAGTTTCAGTTTATGTTGGCGTAGCGATAAGATCTCTCTAATAGTAGCATCTGCAGGTCTCCCAGAGGAGCTATTGTTATCTCCCTTTGCATGTTGCTCTGAATGCCTGCTCTCTCCACCCTGCACCCCCGCCTACCGCCCACCAATCCACCTACCCGCCGTACGCCAAGGCTCCAAACGCCCAGTGGCTTGCTGGTCATGGAGAGGGAGGGGAACGTAAAGCAGTGTGTGTAGAGAGAGGGAGAGAAATAAAAAAAGGAGGGTGTGCTAGAAATACAGCATGGTGTGCTATTTCTCTACACTTCTTATGGAACATTAGAAAAGTGGAATGTCTTCTCCTCTGGCTGACTTCAGTCCAAGTGACTGGAGAAGAAAAGTGTCCAACAACACAGAAACTTCCATAAATCCTTATTTAAGTTCATGCAAAGGTCTTATTTTTCTTTTCACACACACCATATAAAGAAAATAAACTTTTATTTGAATGCATATTGCACGTGTCAAAATATCACAAGATTATATTTATAGAGTCATTTGTTTTGTGAAAAGTAGCCCTGCCTCTTTTGGAGGCATTAGCTTGACATTCCACACATTGCTTGGCATTATTGAACTGTCACAATTTACCCCGAGGTGAGAGCTACTCCAGCCAGAACCTGGGAGGTGAAGAAAAAAAAATGAATATAGCATTAGCCGTCAGTGCTGCTCGCAGCCTCGCTTCAGCAGACGCCTGATGATTCATTATTCATGGCTGTCTGAAGGTGTGGAGCCAGGATTCTTATTGCCATTTAAATCAAATCTTAATATCCAGCGATATCTGCTTCTCCTAAACCCGTTCTCTAGCTCTAAACTTTGACCTCTGTCTTTCCAAACCTCTCCATGTGTGTTTTCAGATTACGCTCGTTGTTTATTCAGTCCGATGAGACCAGAGCACCAGATGGCCGTTGGATTATCATGTCCTTCATATTCAAATGGACTGCCTTAAGGTTACCAATGCCAAAACCAGTTCAAGTCCTTCACTAAGCTCCAGACACACTCGCTGCAACCAATATTCTCACACTAGCTTCCTTTATGTTTTTTTTTTCCACAAGCATCCACGTCAAGATGACCACATATTTTTTTGTGGTTCGACTTGCGGGTCTTTGTCACGGCTGCAGAAACCATATATGTCCTGCAGGCCCTTCCCATCTGCAGCCCAACCAGTTTCTGAGCAGACCCAATAATGGGGCCTGTGTGTGACAGAGATGGATGGGAGCCCAGGGGAGCTCATAAAACCTGCAGCGGGGAGGGAGGGATGGAAGAAGGCCGAGATGGAGGGAGAGAGGGAGGGAGATACGCAGGGAGGGGAAAAAGCGGACAGCAGGCGCTCCGTCCTTTCTAAGCGGACTGTAGCAGACATTAGAGGACTCAGTGAGGCGGGCTAACTGCTGTCCACTCCATCATCGGAGTAGCTCTAATACATACTGGTACACTACCCCCAATCCCCCAGCCCTGGACAAGTGCAACAACCAGCTGCCCAACCTCAAAGACCAAATTCAGTGTTAAAGCAGCTATTAGTTCTTTATTAGTCTTTTAAAATCTGCATCTTATTGTGTACATTTAAAGAGAATCAGAAGAATGACACAGTGCTGCACTGTTTGGCTGTGTCTATGTAATAAGATGTTGCCTTCAGCTGGATTGTGGTGTATTAGAGCAGTAACACTCCACTGCAATCTAAGCAAGCTCTATCTACATGTCCGTCTAAATCTGAGCCATCGTGTAGATTAATTCATTGGAGGGGTGGTGTGACAGCTAAGATTAGAAGTAGGGAATCAGGACGATGTGGACAAGCTGTGGAGAGCAGAGAAATGATTAGATCAACCTCAAAAGCACATCCTAAATAATAAATTATTGTTAAATGTACAGAAATGTCCAAAACAATTTTTTTTTGTTTATTTTAATGTCATGACTCAACTGAAGATTGCACCGTGGGGCATGTTGTGTTACATCACAACGCAGTTTTCAGCTGGATGGCTGCAAATTTGACTTTTACTGCCACAATCTCCTCAACTTTATCCTACTTGTGCCAGAGGAGGATTAAAGATTTAAAACATAAACTATGAATGAATCAGGATGGTATTAGATTTGAAAATCAAAACTTTTTGTTAAGAAATTCCTCTGGGCTGGGGTCACACGGGTTGGAAAATAATCTCTGGGTGAATCCGTAGTCAACAAACGTGTGAAAACATGTGATCAACACATTTTTTACAAAACAAATTAATAGATCCTGCTCTCTGTTGGCCTTTCGTAGATATGAGGAGGTGGATATGAACCCTCCGTGTATGCATATGAAATTTATCTGAGGGTTGGGGTTTTTTTGGCCCCAGGAGAGACAGATGTTCTCCTGACCGCCTTACTGTCTGCGCAGCCATTGTAGCCGGCACCCATCCAGCAGACGTGCATGGATCGGACAATCCAGTTGGCCCTGAGACAAAGCTGAAGGGATCCTATTGTCAGGGGCCTGTCTAATTATGGAAATCTATTCAGCAGCAGTCCACTGACAGCTTTTGTGTCAGCCTGGGATTTATTGAGGGACCTGTGTGAGCTGCATCTTATTGCAGGAGTGCGTGATCAAGACAGTGGCATGGGTCTATTCAGCAGCTATACTTTGAGGAGGCTCTGAATTTTAATTTTGCCCACTTGAGTCTTGAGAGAATTTTAAATCCTGCTCCCTACCCAATAAATAAATAAAATTTTCTGATCTGACACCAACAAAGTCACAGAATCTTTCATTTCATAGGAAAAAACAAAGCAGCTTTTGGCCCATAAAGGCTGGTATTACCTTCTACTCTGTTGTGGTTTTCTATAAAAATATCAATAGGTGAGGTGAAATGTTATCTTGGCAGGAAGCCCTGAGATGGAGGGCTCCAGCGGTGTTTCATAGCTCCCCTGAGATTGCTTTCTCCTACTCTCTTCCCAGCACTTTTGTTTTCCTGCCTGGAGAAACAAAACGAACATGGATGCAACAAGCCTTCTGGGACGGTGTGCTATTAAACTGTGCCGATTGTGAAGGGGCCGCTTGTAAACATGAGCGCTTCAGATCAATCCAATCAGGCCCCATTGAGAGTTAAGCTCCGCCCCTTCCAACGATCAGAAAAACCCTACCAGCATCTCCACTCCATCATCCACCTCCACACAGAAAAACAAATGAGTAGACACCAATTTTTCCACCTGAAACATTAAAAATGTGTTTCTCCCCAGAAAACCGTCTGAACTCTTAATCATAACATTATACACATTGATACAAGTTGCTGCGGAATTATAAATGTAATAACCAATTACATTTTGGGGGGCAAATGTTAGCAACTTTGTTCAATAATATTTTAAAAAATACTGACAAATGTCTCAACTATAAAAACATTGTGCTAAATCAGGATCATTAAACAAAACATGAACACCACAAGATAAACTGTTCCCACTGTGCAAAGACCAAGTTTAGATGCCCTACAGACGTGGTCTGGACCGACAGACTCAATATAGACATGATCTGCACGACTATGCAACATTGACTGTTTGCAGGGTTGCTCTGGGGATGTGAGAAAACATTAATACACTGAAACATCGCAATATTTTGTGGTATGATACTAAATCGACATTTATAAGTAATTTTTTATGAGAATTTACGTGCAAACATTTACTGAATATTTCTTTGGTGTGGTGCAATTTAAACTCAGACTGCTAGGCGGCAGCAGCTTTTACCTGATTCATTCTGACGGAACAACGAGATCTCGCGATAACTGGGTGTGTCTTGGAAGCATCTGGTCTATGTTCCAAATAAATTCAGTCTTAAAAATTGCATATATGGTCTTTTAGTATCACGATATATCATTTTGTATCTCCTGGTATCTATATTGTATGGCCCGATTCTGGTCAATACACACCCTATAACATTGCTCTAACTCTTTAAAGTGACGGTGTGTATTTTCCCTGGTGATGGGGGGCAGTACATACCTAAATCAATGCAAGCAAGTGGTATTTTTGTTTGAATAAGACCTTACGCAAAGTATAGTCATTAGGGTCAAAAACCTCTAAGAAAGCGACAAGCACATCAGACTCCCTTTCATCACTGGTAGCAAGCAAAGTGGTGAATGTTTAAAACAATTTTTATGAATGGCAAAAGTTTTGTAACCATTACTAATCAGTAAATGCGTTTTGTCCTCACGGGCTATTGTAAAAGGAAACATTGTGTGGGACTTGGACCCACACTGATGTTTTTTTTACACCCAATATTTATGGTTATATGCTATGAAGTCGCCAATTTTTTCAACAACTGGGCATCATTTAATTCCTTTTCAACAAAATTTCGATGGATATTTCCAGAGATAAATGGTAAAAACTACACATTGTCTCCTTAAAGTAAACTATTTGGAACATGGCAGTTGGTGCATCAGTTTTTATAACTTTTTATTGTGCTTCAGTGTGAAATATAGAATTATAGCCATGGAAGAGGCAGAAATGTATCCCTGATATGTTTCTGAATTAGAAGCTGAGGAGTCACAAACCTAACCTGACAGAAAATCAAGGTTGAGTGTTACTGCTCTTTAAACAATTCAGTAGACACACTGATGTGGTTCTGAATCAACTCTGTTCAGCACCTCAGAATTAGCTAAAGGAAACATAACTGGTCTGGTTGGAAGGGCTGAAACCGATGTCTGATTCTTATACAGTTCTGACCTGCAGAAACCAAATTTATCACAGAACTAAATGGACCAGAATTCCATTAGTCTTCTGATTATAATGAAAATGATAATCCTTCCAATGTGTTATATGTAGCATACTGAAGAGCCAATTGGCCAATTAAGTAAAAAATGTTGATTCTGTGAAGATAGAACAAACTTATGTGGGGGAGGACTATGCTTGATGGTCAGCAACAAATAAAGTACATTATAATTTCCAAGGATGTTTTTAAACAATTGCATAAAACAATAAATGTTACTTATCAAGTTTTGATGTGCAAAGAAAGCAGAGAATCAGTGTTATTTATGTCAGCGATCTTAATTTGTCGTCTGAGGGGCTCCTAAATTCTTTCCTCTCAAGTTCGCTGTGATTTATGATGCTAATATCAAACAGGACATTCTTTCTGGGCTGTATGCCGTTGCACACTACCAGTCAGTCGTAAACACAGCGATCGGAAAGGCCGATGACATTTTACAACACGCGGCTGCTGGAGACAAAACTATCTTGAGGGCTTCTTATTGTTAAACAGGCATAATCCGATCTTACACAGCGTAAACCCCAACATACTGGAAAAATAGTTCATATTTTCTCTTTTATGTTTTGTTTACATAACTCAGTCTAATTAGCATACAGCATCTGAATTTTTGCAGGATTCTAATATAAACCTGCAGAAAGAAGCTGATCTTTGAGTGCCTGAAGCCAGGGGTAATGTGCACACTGAACATGGATCATCACATAGCAGCCATGCATAATTGGACACTGGAAAGAGAAAAAAAAATTATAAATCTATGCATTAGTCACGGGCCTCTTATCACTTAAAAGAAACACAATCCGACACTCCCACTCCGCCTCCTGCTCTCTCCGGCTCGTATGCGCTTCCCTTTCATTGCCCTAAAAAGATGTAATAACAGAAGAGAGCGGGAGCTCTGGTGTGGAGTTTTCACACCTGCTGCCCGGAGCTCGAGCAGAAGCTGCTCTTTTTAAAACACCAAGTCCCAGGAGAAACAAACCCATCTCCTGCAGTGGCATTGAGGGACATCCTCTCTGTCTCCTTCCCGTACTTTTGCCTTTTTGTGCATTGAACTATCCTCACTCCACATTTCAGAACGACTATCAGACTTACTCTTTCTTTTTTTATTTCACCGTCCTCTGGGAACGCTCCAGGCCGGCTGTCAAAAGAGTTTTTGTCAGTATGCGTAGCTTATGCTGTTATATGCCAACACTGCACTGTTTTGAAAATGAAGCATGACATCAAACAGTCGTTTAGTTTTATGAAACTAGAATAAATCATTTAGAGCCAGTAATGTTTGATCCATCAGGGGCAGATGAATCGCCACTCTCTTTACAGCTTGTTAAACTGCAGCGAGGAGGGAGAGGAGGAGCAGCCATTGGTTAAACATTGAATAATTGACAAACAAATGTTTAGAATTGCTAATGGTGCTGCAGCAAGAGCACGAGTCCTGTCCGAGCGTGTGCTCGCTTTTACACAACTTTTCTCAGCACTCTCCTGAAGTAGAAGGCCTCGGGAATAATTGCTGGATGCGTCACTTCATGCTTGTAATTTTAGAAACAACTACACCTCCCCACCCCCAACCCCCCTTGTGCCTGCTAACGCACGTCCACAAATGGCAGAAGCTCACCCGCCCCCCCTTCCAACACACACACATATGCACATGCACACACATTTCCCTTTAAAAAAAACAGGGTCCCTATTTTCTGTGACTGCAGGCTGGCTGTAGGTTATTGTGTCCACTAATATATCAAAGAACAGCTGTCCTAAGGCTCTGCAATGACCAATCACCCCCTCCATCTGTCTCACCCAACCAATCTCTCACTCTTTAGGCCTATCCTTCCCATCCAATCTCCTTCTATCCCTCTTTGCGTTCCACCACTACTTTTCCCTCACTCCCTGCACCCCCTGCCTGCTGCGTTCTGTCCAAATCCCCCGGACCCTCTGTGCTTCCAGCTTGTGCTTCTCAGCACTTGGATAGCTGTGGGATTTGTTGTTTTCTGTTTGTACATGCACAAATTAGAGGAAGCTTGCTACATCCAGCCGCCACACTCTGGCAGAGCATTTTATGATGCCTGCACAACAAACACCTAATGGCATTAAAGTATTTCTCAAGTGCAGTCATTTACTAATTAGCTGCTGGTTGCTTTTTGTGTGAAAAGCGCTGTGAAGTTCTGGATTCTGCTGCCTCAGGAATCCGATTAAGTGCGGCCATCCAAATGAGCCTCGCCACCCCACTTCTTAATTGGACCCTTAATAGGAGCCGAGGTTTTCTTAATGAGCTGATAAACCCCTTGAGAACGAGAGCACCAGGCCCATGGAATCACCAGGAACTGGGTCCCTAAACTTCTATTCTTGTGAACACACACACACACACACGCATGCACGCACGCGTGCGCGCACGCACACACACACACACACACACACACACACACACACACACACACACACAGGAGGCTAATTAGAGCCTATTCACACCCACACTAATGATCTATGCTCTTATTCACACACAGTTCAGCAGGCTGTGTGTTTACTCAAAGACCTCACAGGACCCTCCACTGCAACACTCGCGCCACTCTCCCTACAATGAGGATGGTCGCCAGCCCGGCCCTCCAGAAAACTCCTTCAGCATAAGATCTGCTTCTTTTCCTACTCAGTTACTCACAAAGATGCTTGGAAAGAAAAAACAAACATAAAAACAGCGCTGCAGAGAGAAAGGAGAGGGGTCAGTTAGAGGAGAGCTATAAAAACTGCCAGACTGGACTCCTTGTGTGTAGTCATTCTGTGTGTGTCTGTGTCCATGTGTGTTGTTTTAAAAGAAAAGGTATCGCTACACCAGCGGGGGGCCCCAGCAACAAGAGTTAAGGCACTCCAGGGTTGGCGGCCTGGGACTGATTTAAGAGCGTGTTTGAAGTGCAGATTACGGATTTTTGCACCAAATCCCTCCAGGAGTATCTATGGCTCTTGGAATCTCTCTCAGGTTTCTTCTCAGGTCCGGCCATTGCTGTTCCACCCAGCTTGAGGTTTTCTGGACGGTCCAGAGGAGAGAACCAAGAGTGTCACACACTCGCTTTGTCGCTACTTAAAAATTAAGATTACAATGTTAAAAATAAAAAGAATGCCTCCTGCAGGAGTCAGAAATAGCACCAGGAAGCTGGAATGCTTCTCATTGCCATGTTGGGGATTCCAGCAAGGAGGTGAGAGTCTTCAAATGTCCAGCTCATAAGACGTTGGACAGAATCGTGCCTATAGCCTTTAACTCAAAGACACTGAGCTGCAGTATCACCAGAGGGCACAGGGGTGAGTTTATGTGTCAGTGGTCTGAGAGTAAACAGCGTGACTACATAACACTGCTGTGTGTGCTCATCTGATCCGTCTGACTACAAACACACACACAGACAGGCTGTTTTGAAACAATCCTAACACTAAAGCGAATATAGAAGAGCAGTGAGCTGCTTCTGAAGGCATGCTGACTATTCCACCATCCGTTTGTGACATTCTCACACAAGTTGTTCGCCAGAGCAGTGCTGACTTTATTCATCCATCGTGGACCTGCAGGGTGCACAGAGCTGACGGGACGGGTTGATCAGGATTTGCTAGGGGATGAGGTTCTTTTGTGGAAATAACTGGCCTTTCGAGCATTTTACCCTCAATGCGGACGTGTTTTAACAGAAAACATTCAGAAGAGCTGACGTTAAATCAACTTACCCGTTGGGATGGATTTCATAACCGTACAAGAGGTCAACTACATATTTAACTCTCTCAGGGGTGGAACTTAAAAAACACAAATAAACCGTGTTGTTAACTGTCAAACGTGGTTGTGACGCTTTAATCAAGCTGCTAGAATTCACACACGCCTCCCTCCACGTTGCCGCTGCAGCTCATGTTGAAACGGATCTATTTCTATTATCAGATTTGCACTAATACTTTTAAAATGAACCATTCTGTTGGATTTCTCCCACTATTCTTGTAACTGTCATGGCAATAATGGTCCATTGAGGCGAGTTAAAGAGCCGGAGGGGGGGAAATAGGGGAGAGGGGGCTCTTGAAGACGAGGCCACAGAAGCAGCCCCCATGCTGGCTGCTAAACAATGCTGTTGTGGAGAGCCAAAGCACTGGACTCCAATGAAACCTGGAGTGAGAGTGCACGAGGGGGAGGCCAGCACTGGACAGTTATTAAGTCAGCAATGGGAGAAAAAAAAAAGGGGGGGGGGGGGGGGGCAGCATGTGTGGTGGTAAGCTCTGAGCTGGTAAAATTTTGCTTGCCTAGCTAAGGGGTTTCTGCAGCTTAAAACATCATCCCTCTGTTCCTCTTCTGTCCCACAGCTGTTTCTGCTGCCTGCTGATGAAACATTCAGGGCCAGAGCTCGGGGTTTAGCGTTTCCACGGCGCACGTCAGGGAAAACTCAAGTCCGTGCACTCTGTTTGCAAACTGTGTGCACTCCTGCTTGCTTTAGCATTGATTCAGGCAAAGTCCAACTAAGTCGAGTGAAGTTCTCTAGCGCGTGCGCGCATGTGTGTGTGTGTGTGTGTGTGTGTGTGTGTGTGTGTGTGTGTGTGTGTGTGTGTAAGAGAGAAATAAGAGTGTCCTACTCACTATAAGGGACAATAGGACTCAGCATTCTGTGGAGCTGGTCTTGGTGAAGAGGAAAACTGTTTCATGAATGCCAGCTAAGGTTAGCGCCGCTCCGGCTGTAGTCCATCACTGACATGAGCGTGCACTGACAAAACAACAGCCCTGAGAGGAAACAAAAAAAGAGAAAGAGGTGAGGCAGCTACTGGGTGCTTGCTGCACAATGTTTAGACAAACACAAGCCTTTCAGGCCAGCTCACACACACATATGGCAGAACGGAACCAGACTATGATAGAGTTACGGACCAACCTGAGAGCCCTATCACAGTAACAAACAGAATTCACGCTCACGTACACACAGTGTGCCAAATTCAGACACACAAGGGCATTCATTACAGGCAGGCATTAAGCTGATTGTGAAGCAGTGTCCAGCCTCTAAAGAGGGATTTCTAAATCTGCTTCACAAAAAGACTCGTGCATACCACTGCTCTGTGCGCTGGGGCAATAAAGACTGCATTCTTAGGACGCCAAATACTTTTGGGGCTCTGTGAGCGAAACACAGACAAAAGATGTTTCTTGTAGAGGAAAACTTACATATCACTTGATCCAAATACATCATAAATTCTGCTTTATTGCAAACGGAGTTGTTCTTTTTTAAGTTATGTTGAACTCAGTTTGTGCGTCTTATTTTAAATGTGCAGCAATTAGTGTTTAGAGTATTTTTCTGGACATTAAAACCTTTTATTCTTAAGTTTTCTTTAAAACCGAATAAAATGTTGACATTGGACCTTTGCAGAATGAACGCATTTAGATGTTTCCAATAACATGAAATACTTTTTGGGTTCACTTTGCAGTATTTTATGATAAATTCCCATGCAGCCGTGAGCCATTCACATGAAGGAGACATTACGCAATGACCCCACTGCTGCATCAACAGGCTCTCCACACATCACCTTCTCAGGCTGCACCCCCCCCCCCCCCCCCCCCCCCCCCAACTGACAGCCAACTTTTTTAACACCCCTCCCAGAATAACATTCCTCTCTACGGCACCAAACCACAGTTTCCACTAAAAACAAACAGCAGAGGAGTGAGCAGGAAGATTGTGTTTGCAGGAGAGGAAATGTCTCCTGGCCAGAGTGGTCAAAGAAAACTGTCCCAACTTCAGCAGTCCAGTCACACAGCAGCTGGCTATGACAGCAGATCAGCACAAAGATGCATGAAGACAGGAGGCCTTACCTATTCATGCCTGTACGTCCTCCATCAGATCTGAAAGCACTAGGATAATCCCCGGAGCTGACCAGACCCGTGCGTGCACTGCTATGCTTTTTTCCACATATGGGACACACAACTCAGCTCTTTCCCTCCCTCTCTCTCTCTCTCTCTCTCTCTCTCTCCTTCTCTCCCTTTCTCTCTGGCCAGTGACAACAGAGTGAGCACTCAGCTCCCCTCCCCCATAGCTCTCCCATCCCCCTCTCCCTCCCCTCCTTCTCCCTCTTTATGCTAAAAGTATTTAAGTAGGAAGAGAGAGAGGGAGGGCAGCTGGGAGGGTGTGTACTGACCAATCATTCTCTGAAGGAGAAGAGGGCCTGGACCCTGTGGACAGTGGACAAGAGTTTTTGGTTGAAGGATTAAATAGAAAGATAAACAGTGGATAGACTGTGGGGAAAACACAGCAATATAGTGCTTGTGTGTTTTTTTTTCTCTCAGTTGGACTAAAACAACAAATCATGTCAGAAACAAGCAAAAAAAAAAACAAATTATTGAGAAATATGTTACACTACCAGTCAGATAGCCCCGGAGGTAAACAGAAAACCGGAAAGTGTTGTTTAGCAAGCAGCTTGCTGATTAACAGCTGCTTAACAGCCTCACCGACACCACAATTGTCCTCCTGAGTCCAAAAAACCTGCTCCTGAGCTGCGAAACGCTTTGGAAACGCTCGGGACTGTGGGATATAAAGTCCATAGTAGATATTGGTAATGAGCTCAGGCAGCAAACGGGAATGAAGGCAAACTTTCATAATTTGAACATAAACGTGTTTTCTAAACAGAAGATGAGAACCTTTAACATTTTAAAGTAAGCAATGGGGGATGTTCTACAGAGCTGAAGTCAAACTGTGATGACAATGATTTATTATTTTAATTATATTTAAAATGGATTCTTTATGCATGTGAGTTTTGCATCTGCTCAAGTCCAGTTAGGGTAGATTTTATAAACGTGGTGTCCTATGAAATCAAAATTCTTTTTGCTTCTGATTTTTTTTAATTTCCACTTTTTATTGTCTAACCACCTAAAAAGCAATTAATTACAGAGCAGATTAATACATTTTCATTGTAATCTGATTAAATATAAAACATTTCTGGAATGTTAGTTTTTTTTTTGTTTTTTGTTTTTACAAAAATACAGAAAAACTTTCCTTTTGTTTCTCTTGTCTTTGGCCTCGTCAGCTGCAGCATGAAGCTAACTGGATTAATTTAGACTATTATGTGGCAATGCTTTACCTAAACAACCATGTCTCACTCTACGCACACATAGCAACAGATCTACACTCATATTTCTGTTCTGCTTATGAGTTTTCATGAAGAAGACTTCTGGGCCGTTGTTTCCTTATCGTTCCAGTTTATCATATAAAGACAACTTACAGAATAGTTGTAACGTGTACAAAAATGAGTACAAAATATGCCCAAAAATCCCAGATGCCAAATAAAATCATGTTGTATTTGCTACTAATCAATCGTTATTGTTGTCACAAATTACACCCTGTCTTTACACCCATCTATGTTACCTTTTTGAAAGTATATTTAGGAATGGTGTGGCATTGTGCATTTATTTTCTCCAACTTCCATTCTCTCTTCATCAACCAAACCATTTTTATTCGTCCCGAGTTTCTTAATGTATCTGCACATTCAGATTTGGATTTTATTTTTCTCTTTATTCCATGTTTTACATCATTTTCTTTCAAATTTGAGCTCTTCATGTCTATTTCACGTCCTGATACTGGAATAATTTTGCATTATAATCTCAGATGGAGAAGGACAGTTGTGGTCTCCATCCTGGAAGAGGAACTGTGGACTAGCTCATTTCCCTTGCTAGGGTGCCAGAGTGTGTTTTGTGTACCTGCAGAAGGCTTTTGATCATTTCACCGGGGTCACCCTGTGGGGGCCCTCAGCGAGTCTGTTAAAGGAAATTCAGCCCCTTATAAGGAAAAGTGTGGCCATGTACACACGTAACCAGGTCTGTGTAAAACTGAATATCCTTTCATGCCCGTCTAAGAAAAACACTTGGGTCCACGCCACCTTGTTTTCAGCAAAAAATCCAGGGCATTGTGAAGGACACTAGTAGTTCCCCAAATCCCCGGCATGCCGAAAAACATTCCTTGGACGTAGAACAAAACTAGGAGAAGGGAAATAACAATCTTTAACATTATCATTTCACCTGTGGTCTACATAGAACAGTAACCGAGACTGAAAAGCAAGAAAGTGACTGTAAACACAGGTCACACACATCAGAGCATTTATGTCATGGGAAGTGACATTGCAAAACCTAAACCCCAGTTATTTAAGTCTACAAGCAAATTCTGAAAATCATCTATTCTGGTGGCATATACAGGTCCTTCTCAAAAAATTAGCATATTGTGATAAAGTTCATTATTGTCTGTAATGTACTGATAAACATTAGACTTTCATATAAATTAGATTCATTACACACAACTGAAGTAGTTGAAGCCTTTTATTGTTTCTAATATTGATGATTTTGGCATACAGCTCATGAAAACCAAAATTCCTATCTAAAAAAAATTTGCATATTTCATACGACCAATAAAAAAAGTGTTTTTAATGCACAAAAAGTCAACCTTCAAATAATTATGTTTAGTTATGCACTCAATACTTGGTCGGGAATCCTTTTGCAGAAATGACTGCTTCAATGTGGTGTGGCATGGAGGCAATCAGCCTGTGGCACTGCTGAGGTGTTATGGAGGTCCAGGATGCTTCGATAGCGGCTTTAAGCTCATCCAGAGTGTTGGGCCTTGCGTCTCTCAACTTTCTCTTCACAATATCCCACAGATTCTCTATGGGGTTCAGGTCAGGACAGTTGGCAGACCATTTGAGCACAGTAATACCATGGTCAGTAAACCATTTACTAGTGGTTTTGGCACTGTGAGCAGGTGCCAGGTCATGCTGAAAAATGAAATCTTCATCTTCATAAAGCTTTTCAGCAGATGGAAGCATGAAGTGCTCCAAAATCTCCTGATATCAAGGGCAGGATCAATGCAACTAGCTAAAACACAATGGACCAACACCAGCAGCTGACCTGGCACCCCAGACCATCACTGACTGTGGGTACTTGACACTGGACTTCAGGCATTTTGGTATTTCCCTCTGCCCAGTCTTCCTTCAGACTCTGGCACCTTGATTTCCGAATGACATGAAAAATTTGCTTTGGACCACTGAACAGTCCAGTGCTGCTTCTCTGTAGCTCAGGTCAGGCGCTTCTGCCGCTGTTTCTGGTTCAAAAGTGGCTTGACCTGGGGAATGCGGCACCTGTAGCCCATTTCCTGCACACGCCTGTACACGGTGGCTCTGGATGTTTCTACTCCATACTCAGTCCACTGCTTCTGCAGGTCCCCCAAGGTCTGGAATCGGTCCTTCTCCACAATCTTCCTCAGAGTCCGGTCACCTCTTCTCGTTGTGCAGCGTTTTCTGCCACACTTTTTCCTTCCCACAGACGTCCCACTGAGGTGCCTTGATACAGCACTCTGGGAACAGCCTGTTCGTTCAGAAATTTGTTTCTGTGTCTTACCCTCTTGCTTGAGGGTGTCAATGATGGCCTTCTGGACAGCAGTCAGGTCGGCAGTCTTACCCATGATTGCGGTTTTGAGTAATAAACCAGGCTGGGAGTTTTTAAAAGCCTCAGGAATCTTTTGCAGGTGTTTAGAGTTAATTAGTTGATTCAGATGATTAGGTTAATAGCTCGTTTAGAGAACCTTTTCATGATATGCTAATTTTTTGAGATAGGAATTTTAGGTTTTCATGCGCTGTATGCCAAAATAATCAATGTTAGAAACAATAAAAGGCTTGAACTACTTAAGTTGTGTGTAATGAATCTAATATACTGTAAATCCTCTAATATTAGCCTGTATTTAATTAACTGCCGGGTATCATATTTTGGCCGGTGTCTGACTTGGCGGAAGTGAATAATGGCCGGTTTTTTATTGTGGCCGGGTGGAATGTGGTAACAAGCAAGTACGGGGGGCGGTTGTGTCATCCATCTCACTTTTGATTTGCCAGTGATAGACCGCGAGGGTAACTTTAACCGTGCAGAGACGAAGAGGAGGCGAAAATTTGATATCAAGTTCAAAGAGAACGTGCTGATTATGCTGCAGAACACTCTGGGGAGCAGTAGCAGGGGTTGTATGAACTAGTCACTAGTCAACTTCACTGCTCTATAGTGATTTTTTATGCCTGTCATAGACTAGTCGCTGTCAAGTGATAATGACCGGCAAGATGCAGTCCTCGGAAAAGACAGCAGCCTGTTGTCAGCAGGTGACAAGCTCCTGCGTGTCGGGAGGCAACGCACTATGCCAGAGCGTCAGTACTGACACCCACCGTAAAACAGACATTTAACCAAATTGTGACGTTTACCCTCTTGCAATTTAACCTTCCCCTCACCCCCATCCTAACTTTAACCAGCTTGCGCATGCAAAGCTCTGATTGTTGACGTGCTCCAGACATCTGCGTCCTGAGCACGGCCACAGTAACATTATCAAATCAGGTGTCGCCACCTCAAAAACTAATTTAACACGCGATCGTTCATGTCGGCTCATTTCCTTTTATGTTTTCTGTCTTTTATTCTTTTATTTGTGCCTGATGCCTTTCG